CCACTGAGACTACGTCTGGCTCCACTAGACCTCCGGTTATAGAGACAGAACGATCGCCTATGCCAGCCTATGTTGAAGATATCACGGCTAGATTTTAGCCGTTAGGCCCCTCCCACAAACATGAACAAACTTGCCACGGCCGTATTGTTATGCCCCCAAAATCCCCCAAAATGTCATTTTACCTCGTGCATATCCAATTTTACATTAGGCCTAGGCTATAATACATCGGTTCCACTTACTAACTTGATTGAAATAATCCGTTTAATGGTCCCTTTTAAGGAAATTATGGGTCAAAATCGACATCCATGTTGAAAATCTTGCAAGCCGTGTTAAACTCTCGCTGCCGTCAATCTCATCCCTTCTAGTCTACGCCGAAGGCAAAATGATTATGAAGGAAAAACTGTGCGCCATCTACACGTTCGTAATGGCGTTATCACAGTTTTTCCTTCATAATCCTTTTTGCCTTCGGCGTAGACTAGAAGGGATGAGATTGACGGCAGCGAGAGTTTAACACGGCTTGCAAGATTTTCAACATGGATGTCGATTTTGACCCATAATTTCCTTAAAAGGGACCATTAAACGGATTATTTCAATCAAGTTAGTAGGGTCTAAGTGGAACCGATGTATTATAGCTTTTGGTGTGCACCTCTATAGGTAGCCTCTCTCATTTTGAGCTCTGTAATTTGTTTCATTTTTTACCAATTTTGGTTGGATTTAGTATTTGTATTTTCAACATTGTGTTTGATATTGGTCAAGGAACAGAGGTAATCAATTTGTAAGGTGTATTTTGGTGTGAATTTGCAGTATTTCTGTTAAGTTTAATGTTTGATGTTCTTGTTCAATTTTACTGTACAGGCATGTGCATTAAGCTTTACTGGTACTTTGCTTGTATACCATTTGAATGTACTGACATTCACAATAGTCTCTTTTGTATGCTCCTTTTGTGTAAGCTATTCCTGCTTGTACAATGGATGGAAAGCCATTGAAAGTGTTGTTTTCTATAGGGCTTGTTTTTTCTATTCTGTACACTTTGAATCAGCCCTATATAACCAAGGAATGTTTCACTTGTACTGGCTCACACATGAAGAGCCTCCACTGTAAACATCTCAAATATTGTAGTCAACCTATACTATATTACTGTAATTCGACAGCTACATTTCGATGTCTCCTTAATTCTGGAGATATCCAGCCCAATCCTGGTCCAGTGAATTGCACTGAGAATGTTTCCAATATTGGCCATACCAACTCACCTCCTTATTCAGCTGATTGTACAGCTTTACATATTTCATACAACTTGAATGATCTCCATCAGATTAATAACCAGCCGCTTAATTTACTACCCATGAATGTTTGGAGCAGGATCTGCGATCTTGGCATCGGTCGCCGACGTCGAACTCATCGCGGACGTGGGCGGCGTACGATGCCAAGGCCGGATTTCCCTCCACCAATGTCGGTATCATCCAATAGCCTCAAACTTGGCCTTTGGAATGCACGTTCCATGACCAATAAAACACACGCAATTACTGATTTGATTGTTGAACATGATCTAGATGTTCTAGTCATCACCGAGTCGTGGCTCTCTGGAGACAGTAAGAGGGATGGTCTCATATTAGCTGATCTAAGATCTGGTTTGCCTAATTATGATTTCACCCATCGACCCCGGTTATCTTCCAAGGGCGGTGGGATTTTGCTTCTCTATAGATCCACGGCTCGCTGTACCTTGAACAACAACAATGATTTTGCATCTTTTGAATTACTGGATGTCACACTCAATCTGACACCTTCATCTGCTGTAAGGTTGTACTGTATTTATCGACCACCCCCGTCTGCCAATAATAATCTCTCCAACGGCACATTCTTGGATGAATTTCCAACTCTCCTTGAAGGTGCTGTTGACTTGTAGATGATCATTTTCCTCTATTATTGGGTGATTTCAACATACATGTTGATGATCCCAATGATAATTTTGCAAAATCTGTTATGACATGTGTTGATTCGTTAGGGTTCAAGCAACATGTTCGTGAACCAACCCATCGCGCAGGTCACACTCTAGATTTGATTTTCACAAGGAATTCGGATGATGTCTGCAACGTGAACTCGCTATCTTCCATGCCTTCCGACCATTGTGCACTTGTCACCACTGTCAATATCGCAAGGCCGAAGAATCCCAAGAAAGAGGTTTCCTTCAGGAAATATCGCAGCATTGACAAGGACTCTCTACGCAACTCTATTGACACAATGTTCCATTCACTTCCTGATCTATCTTGTCCATCTGCTTCCGCGGAGCATTACAACTCATCTTTGCGGACGTTGATTGATGAGCACGCTCCAATCCAGGTCAAGACTGTATCAATCAGACCTGATGCGCCATGGTTTACCGATGATATCCAGGAAGCCAAGAGGCGAAGGCGTCGTGCGGAACGTCGTTCGATCAAGTCTGGACTTTTTGTTGATAGAGAGCTGTACCGCCGTGAATGCGATTCATATTATGAGTGCATCTTCAATGCGAAGTCAGCGTATCTCAAAGATCTCATCAAGAATGCTGACACTAAAGAACTGTTTCGTCTTGTGAAGACACTCTCAACGCCCACTCAATCTTCACCTCTTCCAGATCATTCTTCTGATAGTGAACTCGCCAACAGATTTGCTACATTCTTCAGGGAAAAAGTCGCCAAAGTTGTATCCTCTTTCCCTAATGTAGTACCAGCACCAGCTTCAAGATCTTTTGCTCCAGGCCCTCGTCATGAACTCTCTGATTTCTGCCTTGTATCCCTCTCACAAGTCAGGAAGCTCATCACTTCACTTCCTTCTAAACACTGTAAGCTAGATCCGATTCCTACCTGGCTTCTAAAGGAAGTCCTCGATGAACTCCTTCCTCACATAACCAAACAGTTCAATCTCTCGTTATCATCCGGAATAGTTCCAGAGTCTTTTAAGACTTCTCTGCTTCTTCCCCTCCTAAAGAAGCCGAGTCTCGACACGAATGGACTTAAGAACTACAGGCCCATCGCAAACCTGCCATTCCTTGGGAAGGTTTTGGAACGTATTGTGTCACTACAGCTGAAAGCCCACATTGACAATCTCGGTTTGTTTCCAATCCACCAATCTGCCTATCGGAATCATCATTCTACTGAGACTGCAACTGTCAAGGTCCTAAATGACCTACTTCTAGCTGTAGATAAGGGTAATGAAGCTGTCCTCATCTTGCTTGATTACACTGCCGCATTTGACACTATCAACCACGACCTGTTACTCCATCGCTTAGAGAACGACTTCTCCATCACCGGCACCGTACTTCAGTGGATTCGCTCCTATCTCATGCACCGAACTCAGAAGGTGATCATCAATGACACCAACTCGGAATCATTTCCCCTCATCTGCGGCGTTCCTCAGGGTTCCGTGGTCGGCCCCCTCCTGTTTATTCTTTACACCAGCCCTCTCTCAAATGTTATTAACCTTCATCAGAATATTCAACACACTATGTATGCAGACGACACCCAGATTTATGTAACTCTTCACCCAAACAGCAGGACAGTAGCCGCGAACAAACTCACCAGTTGCCTCAATGAAATCAAAACCTGGTCTTTTCAAAACTGTCTCTGCCTTAATGATTCCAAATCTGAAATGATTCATATTACTTCTAAATTTCGGAACTCAGACCCCTTTCCTGATCTTGTTATGAGTGATGGCTCTCTCAGTTGTTGTGCTTCTGTGCGTGACCTTGGTTTAAATATTGACAGCAATCTTACTTTCAAACAACACATTAGTAATATTTGTAAGTCTGCTTCCCTTTGGTATATATAAGATCAGTAGAATCAGGAGGCTACTTGACCGACCCACAACTTCAAAATTAGTGCATGCTTTTGTCTCGACCCATATCGATTACTGTAATTCTTCTCTTTCTGGCCTCCCTCAGTCACATCTAGTTCCACTTCAAAGGGTACAGAATAGCGCTGCTCGGCTTGTGACTCTCTCGCGTAAATCAGAGCACATAACTCCAATATTGAACTCACTACATTGGCTTAAAATTCACCACCGCATATCCTTCAAAATTCTTCTCCTGTGCTACAAAGCTATCAATGGCTTAGCCCCCTCTTACCTTTCCGATCTCATATCCTTACGTTCCCGTACGTCGTCACGAACACTTCGTTCATCTTCCACATTACTGTTAACACCTGGACCCCGCACTAACACCCGGTATGGTGACCGCGCCTTTTCAGTTATTGCCCCCGCTCTCTGGAACAAACTGCCCGCCTTTATTCACTGCGCCCCCTCTGTATCTCAATTCAAATCTCTACTCAAAACCTATCTTTTCAAATTGTAAATTGCAGTTGTGCGTCGGTCAATGGAGGTGCGCACCATATTTGTCTTTATTTAGTTGATTGCCACTGTTTTTCTTACCTTATCTATGTTACTTTTGTATCTTTGCTTTTTCTTCTAATTTAATTCTACGGGTTATAGTCTTCTCTTAATCAGAACACTGTGCGCTTAGAAACATCAGTATTAAGCGCCTAATAAATGTTATGTATTATCATTATTATTATTATAGCCTAGATCTAGGCCTAATGTAAAATTGGATATGCACGAGGTACTAAAATGACATTTGGGGGGATTTTGGGGGCATAAGACAATACGGCCGTGGCAAGTTTGTTCATGTTTGTGGGAGGGGCCTAACGGCTAAAATCTAGCCGTGATATCTTCAACATAGGCTGGCATAGGCGATCGTTCAGTCTCTATAACCGGAGGTCTAGTGGAGCCAGACGTAGTCTCAGTGGAACAACCGACGGTATAGAGACTGAAGCTTTCGGTCTACACAAATATATGCAGATGGGACCGTTGACAATTCCCCTCAGTCACTCATGACACGATTTGTAATTCACGTTTTACATCAAGCCAGTACAAATTCACACTCATAAAATGAACAATCCCAAACGCATATCACAAAATATATCCATCTTATACATCAAATCCATGAAACAAATGAATAATATCAAACTTACACAAATAATTGACGGGTGAAGCAGACTCATATAGCTCATGCACGTGTGAAAATAAAGCGCCCTCTTTCTATATGTCGGTTCCAGGGCAACAACCACTGAACTCATCCAACTTGCACGAATTTCCGTCAAGTCGGGAATTCAGTTGCGCTAAAATTCTTTGAGTTGCGCTTGAAGTTTGAACGCAATTATTTTTTTTAATACAAGAGCACCCTCAGAGGCGGCGCTGGGGGGGGGGGGGGGGTCGCATCCCCCCCCTACTCTTCCTAGTAGGCCTACCCCAAAAGTACCCCTTTACTTTGACAAGTGCCCCTTTTCCTTCGAAAAGTGCCCCTTTTCCTTTGCATAAGTGCCCTGGTTAATATGGTATGGTATATTTCATTTATTCACGGTTAAAAACATAATACAAATTTGCCCGCATTCAGCAAAAGCTGTTTTTCAGCGAGGCCGTGATTATATATAACAGAATATAAAACAATGAAAATATTTACAAACAAATATGCAAGTTATAATAAGTGAACATATTTACAGAAATTTAAGTACAAAATAGAATCATAGTGATAAAGTGAGGGGGAAAAAAATTATCTACGAGTTGAAAGAAGTGAGCAAATATCTTGAATTTTACTTATCTCAATGTTGTAAGATTTCAAAAACATTTATTATTCTGATATCGTTGGGTAGGTATAAAACAGTTTTGATGCATGGTATAATGGACTATGTTGAAGAAAATTTGTGTGAGGTCTTGGAAGGGGGATTTGTGAATTTGCATAACGGAACATATATAGCCTACTTTAGTATTAAATTGGATCAATGAAGATAAAACAGGTGGACCAAGATTATGTAACAACTTAAATACAATAAAAGCCTGTTTGACCCATTATTCTTTTAGCATGTCAATTTCAAGGGTTTTATAGAGAATTTCAGTGTGATATCTACTATTCACTCCAAGTACAGATCTCAAACACCTATTTTGTAGAGTTTGAAGTTGTTTTAACCGAGTTTCTCTACCGTTCATCCAAATCGTGCTGCAATAAGCGAAATGAGGCTGAATTAAGGTTTTGTACAGTATTAATGCTCTTTTCATCTGTGAATTGTCTCATTCGCTTTAGTGCAAAAGACGTCTTTAAAACCTTTTTCTTTATATGGTCTATTTGTGGGTTCAATGAGAAATTGCAATAAAAAAAACCCCAAGATATTTGCATTCCATTACTCTAAGTAATTCTTTGTTATTCAGATGAATATCAACATTACAGAAACGACTCAAATTGGACTTTGAGCCGGTTAACATGACCTGGCATTTGTCAACATTAAGCAACAATTTATTATTCATTATTTGACATTTGTCAACATTAAGCAACAATTCATTAATCTCTAGCCGTGCCCCTTTTTATGTACGAGAAACGCCCCTTTCGCGTTTTGATAAGCACCCATTTCACCTCCGATAATTGCCCTATTCAAATCTGAGAGGTGCCCCCTTTTGCTTTGACAAGTGCCCCTTCCCCTTTTAATATCTAACCCTTTCTAACTCGGATAAGCGCACCTTATATTTTCACATGTGCCACAATTCCTTTCTAATAAGTGCCCCTTTTCCTCACGGTTATTGTAAATGACCCTATTCAATTTTGAGAGATACTCGTTTTTCTTTGACAAGTGCTCCTTCCCCTCCTGATAAGTGCTCTTTTCATCTCTACTAAATGCCCCTTTTATTTTGACACTTCCCCTTTTCCTTCTAAATAAATGTTCTTTTTTCTTTTTATAAGTTCTCCCTCCCCTTCTCATAATTACCCCTTTTCATCTCTGATAAGTGCCCCTTTATTTTAGCATGCGCCTCTCTTTCTTTCTAATAAAAGCAATTCCCTCTTCTCATAAAAGCCCTATTTCACCGTAATCACCTCCGATAAATACCCCTATTAAAATCTGATCGGTGCCCATTTTCTTTCAACAAACATTTCCCTTTATTATGAGTGCCCCTTTTTTATTCTCATAAGTGCCTCTTTTCATAATATTGCAGTGCACTTTTCACCTCTGATAATACCCTTTTAACAATGATTCGTGCCCCTTTTCTTGCTAATAAGGAACCTACCCTTGAGCGCTAAGGGGGGGGGGGGGCATCTCCAATGTGTTTTCCTCCTTTTTTGCCCGGGTCCCCCCCCCCCTGGATCCGCCACTGCCTACGTGTGTGGCGTTTTTCTTCTCTCGCTCTCTCCTATTTATAAAGCTCCTATATAGTTTCCATTCATGAGTGTAAGATTTTTCTATATTCATTCTATTAATTTATAATGCAGTTCAAGTATAAATCAAACCGGAAAAAGAAAAGTCACTTTTTTGTTTAAATATATTGTCTTCGTTTATGTTGTTATAATACAGTCAAATCTACTTTAGTGACCACCTGTCCACAAAGACCACATTTTTTGTTTCCCTTGAACGTGATTTCTCATTGAAACATATTGTGCTAAAGGAAGCTGTCTACAAAGACCACTTTGTGTGGTTCGCTTGGGCGGTCGCTATAGACAGGTTTCACTGTATCGGATTTGTTGAATTTACTGTGTTGGGTTAAATTAGTGATCACATATATGAATTTTTTTAATTTTTGGTATTGTTATCATTATCACAACTCTTTGTTGAATATATATGTACCTATTGATATGTACAACTCGTGAATAAAGGAACATAAAACACCTTGTAATACAAAAAATAAAAAATGATATTCATGATCATGCTTTGCTAATTCCCATCCAAACAACAGGTTCGAGGCAGAGACACAAAAGCTTTCGGCCGTGATGACGATCGTTATATAAACCTCATATTCCTGCTTTCAAATTATTTGCTCTTTTTCATTGAAGTAGTCGAAGGCCGCATCTCCAACTAATAATAATAACAATAATAACATGAATCAAATCAAATAATGGAATTAACGGATGGAAATTCGAGTCAACTTTCACCTTTGATATGGCAATTAATAGAAAGCCAAAATAAACTATTTCTGCCCCACCCCCCCCCCCCCTCCTGCACAGTCTCCTTTTGGGTGTCGATTCATTCGTTTCTCTGACTTTTCGTTTGATTTTTGTTCTGAAATGAAGAAAAAAAGAAGAAAATTTGTCTGACATCAAGCCATGTAACTTGGAAACAAATACCAGTAATAAAATGCCTTCCAACTTGTTATGCACCTCTGGGGTACATGTAAAAATGTAATTAAATCAAATTTATTTTTGTTCTGAAATGAAAAAACAACAGATTTGTCTGACATCAAGCCATGTAACTTGTAAACAAATACCATTAATAAAATGCCTTCCAACTTGTTATGCACCTCTGGGGTACATGTAAAAATGTAAGTTCAATCAAGAACATGTATTATCTTATAATAGTAGGAAAAATATCAAATATCAACTAACATGGCCCCTCCCTATTACACAAAAAATAGACGATGTATGAAGAATCGATTACACAAAAATGAATGAATAGAAAGAAGGAAAAAAAAGTAAGAGCTTCTCAGTCACGTCGAGCAGTAACTGGTACAGATTAGCACGACATTTCTTTTCATTCACTTTTTATTCAGTGATGAAGATTACATACAGTCGGATTGTTGTTCTCTGGTCGAACGATGATTGACATTGAAAAGAAAATGACACAACTAAAATCTTGACACGAAGGATAGCGACGACAGTTGTAAGCGTTTTCCTTTTCTTTCTTTTGGACGGAGGATATAGCAATGAGAGTAGAATTTCCTTTCTGAGTTCTGACCTGTCAAAGGAATTAAACTGCAGAAATATAATAGCACAAAATAACTACGAAGGATATAGGGCGGGTTGGACGATTCTTTTATTCATTTCTTTTCTTGTTTTTTATTTTTATTCAACGATGAAGATTATGAAAGATTTTATTCTCTTACAAATGTAATATGGTATGTAATGAATGATAAGCTTTGCGCAAAGTAGTATACAAGGTCAACATTACTCTTGTTTAACTCTTTTTTTCTTTTCTTTGTATTTCAGGAAGAAGATTGTGATCCTCGTACCGGTTTAAAAAGAAAAAGAAAAAAAAAACGGCACAAATATTTGTGATGATACAACCGAGTTCAAATTACAACCTTTATTGACTGAAAAGGTTTGATGGCCTTCGTATATGACTGAACTGCTTACATAATTCGTATATCAAACAGAAACCTCAGGTCTTCCCAAAAGTCTCTCCTTAATATCCCTTGGATAAAAACAAGTTGTGTGGGTCACGCTCTTTTCATGTTGCATAAGCAGAGCTTTTGAATAAATTGCCAGAACAAAATATAAAAATGTGAGTGTGGGCAACTGTAAAATACGGCTTAAAGCCAGTCGCTGAATAAGCGGGGGGGGGGGGGGGGGGAGGGGAGTGGGTGAAGAGGACATATTTTATTTTATTTTTTTGTCACGAAATTTGTAATTTGACATTTTGCTCCGTTGGGGGGGGGGGGGGGGGGGGGGGGGGGGGGTAAGGAGGTCACCTTTTTAGGTCAGCCATTGGCATATTTTTTTTTAATAAACAATTTTATTTATTTTTTTGGCCGGGGGGAGGGCACATTCCTGTTTTCAGTACATTTTGGGCGAATTTAGGGCTGATTTTAACATCTCTTTTTTTGGCGGGGGAGGGGGGCAACCACTGTTAAACGCTTTTGTTGGTAGCCTAGTCGGGAGTCTGGATTTGGGAATACTTTAAAGCCCCACTGTACTAATAGCTACTTTCTCCCTCTATAGAAAATAATGCCTAATCGGTGCCTGTTGGTCCCCTGTGATCCCTTATTCTTATGTTAATTGTGAGCTGCGTTGATAAGATAGCCACCTGTCAGTGACCTCGCTGGGTGGTCTAATCCCTCCTGTCCACACTAGACAGTCTTTAAGTTTTTTAGTCAGCTGTTGAGCGAAGGTAGAATCCTCTCTGATCTTGACCTTCTCACCGTATGTTTGTCAAAATTATAACAATGCACATTGAGTATATAGCGAGGTTTAAAAAAGAAAGACTTCGGTAAATATTGGATACAAATCCGATGGGACATAAAATGTTTATTAACCTCATAAGCTTTTGTGTGGCTTTTGTAGGGGAAACCCCGGTGTAGTGGTCCACCTGCACACCCCCAGTATAGTACGATAATACTTTGTAAAGAGGTCTGTACTCAAAAGGAAGAAGAAGAAGGGCCCTTGGGGTGTTTCACAAAGTTCCTAAGCTGAACTTATCTCCAAGTTGGAGTAACAATTATGGAAAGCCGTTAGCATCTATGAACATATTTTATACAAGTTATTTATTTTAAAAGGCATGAAATGTTGATTAAAATCATTCATATTTTCATTATCAAGGACAAGGAGATTTCATGTTCATTAATAGAAAGCCTACAATACTTAAGGTTTCGCTTTTGAATATATTTTATTTTATAGCTACACAATAATTAATGGCTCTCCATAATCTTGAAGTCCAGCTTAGAGTTAAGTTTGACTTCGGATCTTTGTGAAACACCCCCCAGTTCAAACACCTCCCTGGTTACATGCTTGCTGCATGAGCATGACTGATCACGCCAAGAGCACGTGGTTCTTACTTAGATCCTCACTTAGATCAGCATTGTTGGAACAAGGTGATTTATCGACCATGCTTTAGACCGATCATGACACTCACGACTCAGCCATGCGTTAGCTCCATGGTTCAGCTAACAATGAACAAAACAAAAACATGAAGGCCCAGTCACACCGGAAGGAACTTTTAGGTTTACACGCCGACATAGTGGACTGCTACGTGTGACATCCTTTTAAGGCACTGCCTGGCACTGCCAGTACCTTAATAAAATGACGTCACGTTGACATTGCCCACACAGCAGTCCCCCGGTGGGACACTCACCCGCAGACGGTGACACGTATGACCGTTACCACAAATGCAAATAACCCCCTTTTGCGGTCAATTTCAAGGACATTTTGTGGAATTTAACCCCCTTTTTTACGTCAAAACAAAGACAAAATCGTACTTTGGAATACCCCTATTTATAAGATTGTAAGGACACTTTCGCAAATTTACCCCTATTTTACCATATTTCAAGGACAAGACTCGGCTCCGAGAATTTTTCTTCACGGTTTTCTCTTTTCCCTTTTCCTGACCCCTGTTCATCAATTTCGAGGACACCTGTGCACCCCTATTTTCTATATTTCGAGGAATATTTTGTCCGCGGACATTGCTTAAAGCTTATCTGCCATAGTTTACAGGAGGGATTACACCGCCCTGCAAGGTCAATGGACAGGTGGTTATCTCATCAACTCAGCTCTCAGTTAACATGAGAAAAAGAGGATCATGGGGGACCAATGGTCACCGATTAGGCATTGTTTGTTATATAGAGGGCGCAAGTAGCTACAAGTAGTGCAGTGGGCCTTTAAAATTGACCCCTATTTCCGCGATTTTGGTAACGGTCATGCGGTCCGGAAGTCACATCGAGGCAAGTCCCTAAAGAGCTAGCTAGAACAACAACACCGTCGATAGACAGAACATAAGAATGCTTTAGGCCCAATCCCCACGCATAGCCAATGTTTTGTTGGTTATCGCCCGGTGTAGCTAGAGTCGGTCTGGCGATGTGACTGAGGTTTTATGGAAAAGTTCAAACGACAAACATCAAACTTCTCCTGCGCTGGTCCACAAGATGGTCAATACTAGAGCACCAGATTACGTTCAGGAGTGTCTTGAGGAGTGTCTTGTGCAACGCTCTCCTGTACGTAGACCTATGGCGTCCTCGATCGTCGATCTTTTAATTTTATCATCATTTATGTTTTACAATATCACGTGATTTTATGTAAGATACACACTGTCATGTCTACAATGGTGAAGTGAATTGACTAATTTCTTTTGCTGACCATTGCATGAAGTATGGACTTGAACTTTCAAGTACATTTTGATGTTACCGCAAGAAATATATCACAGACCATTTCGAATGAGGCTTGCCGGACTATAGATTAGGAAACAAATTAGCCAATATATGTTTTTTTAGATTTCCAATGGAGGTTAAACATTTTTATTCCGACAGCAAAAAGAAAAACAGGCTAGGAGATAGAGAGAGAGAGAGAGAGAGAGAGAGAGAGAGAGAGAGAGAGAGAGAGAGAAGTGCTGGAGAGAAGGAGAAAAATGATGGTAATGATAGTTGCTATAATAATAATAAACAGAATAATGATGATAACAATAATGATAATAATGTTAATAATAATTATAACGATGATGATAATGATTAAAGAAATAATACTAACAATAATGAAATTAAGAGGAAGAAGAACATGACGAAGAAGAAGTTCAGTTTTTGCGATTTGTGGATGAGGCTGAGGAAAGATAATACTACTATGTACGTTGCCTATGAAGCGCATATCATTAACATGGAGAAAGACCTTACGCGCTTAAAGAAAGGAGAAAAGGGGCAAGAATATGCGCCTGGTACATGGGTACAATATCAAATAATTAAATTACCATTTCAGATTTATAAAATAAATATAATAATCATTCATAAGCATGTTTGAATTAATTAGTTTTACACAATAAAGAGATTAATAAATGTAGTATTAGTATTATCATAATATACTGATAGACAGTAGCAAATATTTCAATTTTATAACGCTAGATGGAATTATCAAGAGGCATGGATTGCAACTCTTTTGACGGATTAATTCGAGAGAGAGAAAGACAGAAGCTTCTTGAAAGGAATCATTAATTCTCGTTAAGAATAGAATGAATGGTCCTGTGTCGGAGCAAATCAGCTTTACCAGATCCCGGATCTTACAAAACTTTTTTCTTTTTCTTTTGAAGACAAGTAAAAAGTAAGGTCCGGCATTGCGTCATATTTAATACCCATGTGTATACATGTGTCCTTATTAAGAAGTGCTTTGTACAAAATCCAGTGGGTATTGTCTGATAAGTAAAAGAAATTGTTAATGTTATCTTGAGTTCTAATTGCAATTTTGTAGGTTAAGTCTAACGTTTTAAAATGTATACAGTCATTACGCCCTAGACCCGGTCCCCCACTCAGTGTTATTTAGGGTACGCATATGCGTGTTCCAACCGACCCCCCCCCCCTTTTCAGCAAAAGTCCGGTGTGTTAAGTCAATACGGCTCGACCTTTTTCTTTTGTATACGAGCCTTTTTCAGCACCCCCCCCCCCCCCTTTCAGCAAAAGTCCGGTGTGTAAAGTCAATACGGGTCGACCTTTTTCTTTCGTTACGAAAAGGACATTTTGGCAACACGCATGGGGTCCGTCCGTTCTCGGAGTGGGGGGGGGGGGGGGCCCTAGATAACAATTATTGCCATCATTGAAGAGTGGCTCCAAGAAAGCGATAATTGATGAATGTTAATTATTGTATTTCGATAATCATTTTATTTCTTTTCTAATGAGGACAAATAGAGAATCTCTCTCTCTCTCTCTCTCTCTCTATCCCTTTCCTTTTTTCTTTAAGCATTCTTTTAAGAGGTTATTAAGCATCAACAAAATATCACTTACACACACACGCGCGCACACAATACTACTAATAATGATAATAATAACAAACAATTAGCCTAAATGGACATTATACCAAATGATACGTATACGAAATTATTATATTAGACCTAGTGGATAGTAGACGGGCTGGGTGTTAGAACATAGGAGATTAGACCACTTGGGTAGTCGACGAACTGGTTGAAGACCAGTCAGTTCACGGTTGCAGTCTGAGCATCATAGCAGATAAAGATCATTGCAGAACAAATTTTGAAATACACGGAGACGAAATACTGGATACGTGCTCATAAAAGTTATGTATCATTATTCATTCATGCACATTCAGTGCACTCCAGCATGATACACAGCTGGAAGTATTCTTTGAAAAGGGGAAATAAAGGCTGTTCATGTAGCACCTCCATCGCTGTAGGAGTGATTCTTTCAAAATGTACTGCATGTTTTGAAGATCTGTGGATATTCGTGGTCATCGCACTGCACTGCACTTCCCTTGCACGTGTTCCTGCGACCGCGCACCTTTTTTCTGCACAAAGTACGAAAATACTCTTTTAGAGAGACGTACTACATTGGAAGAAGAAGAAGAAGAAGAATGTGAAAACCGTGAACTGGTCTATTCACCAGTAAAACTCTTCTACCCGTGACCTTGTGAACACGCAGAGAGCAGCAATACGCACGCACAGTTCGGGAGAAGGTGTACGGTCTGGCGTTTTGTTCGTACCGCCAGAAGCGAACGAGGCGCCAAACGTTGCGCATGGTATATACACGTTAATTATTCGGACTCACAATATTTGTTTTTGGTCCTAGATTTGAGGAACAAAATTAAAATGGCGTCGAATGAAAGTGATCTTGTCCTGATGCAGCTTCAGGCTGAATTCGACTATCTCAAGGAAAACACGGACCACTTTTTCCTCGTCGTGATGTCCTGCATTATCTTTTGTGAGTACCCACTTTGTTGTAGGTGAGAGAGAGAGAGAGAGAGAGAGAGAGAGAGTAAACGCGAAAGAAAGATATATATTTTCAAATCTTATTAAATTTTTCTTTTTTTATTTGCATTAATATCTTCTAAGAGTATCAACCTTGTGTAGGTATGTGCATGAGAGAGAGAGAGAGAGAGAGAGAAAGTAGGTAGTTGGGTAGAAAGAAAAGTGCGAGAGATACAGAGTGGGTGAGAAGAGAAAGAAAGAAAAGAACAAGATCGTTAGAGAGAAAAAATGAGAGAGTGATAGGAAGAGATCTGTTTTTTAATATTATATTAGTCTTCGTTAAAACAAAAAATTAATGTTTTTCTTTTATACTTTTGAACTGCAATATATAGAGAAAAATAAATAACAAAGAGACGTAGAAGAAAAAATATATACTACGTTGTAAAAAGAAGGAGAGAGAGGGTGCGTGTGACAGAAAGGAGACACAAATGATAGAATGAATACCCTCTACTTTTAAGTAAGCAGACACGATTTTGTAAGAAAGCCCTATAATATTGCAACAAGGCGTAATAAACGACATTTTGTGTGAGTATGATAAGTGGAAAGGGAGCAAAGGTGTTAGCCGCGAACCTGAGGCATGCTATCGAAAATTAGGATTATGCATCAAAACGTAATGTCCTATTTTTTGTAATGATATTTGTACAAATTTCATAATTATATTGTGTTCGTGAAAATGGCTAGAATAGCAGAGATATATCTGATATTACAGTCTTTATAAATGGTGTTTAAAAATAATTAACTTCTGAAGAAAGAAAGGTAGACATCTGTTACTGGAATATAAATGCAGGTGTGAAATACAAATATGACTGAGTAAGGTCCTCACTGAAATCAGAGTTCGATTAATTAAAAAAATCTACCTGATAACCAGAAATAAAATGAATGAAAGTGTCAAATTTTCCCTACTATATCAAGTGAATATGGATTGGGAAACTTGAGAAAAAGGCGTTTGAAATGAGTGACGGTATGTTTATCCGTTTTCTTTATATTAATCCAGAAAACTCAAGTTATACATCTCATACTGATGCTATAGAACAAATACAATTTTGACGTAGCTTCAAAAATGAGATTGGGGTAATGTTTTTAAATGGGAGATTTCAAAGGTTATACAAATACTATACATTTAGATCAGACTAATGCGATTTGCAATGATAATTCGGATACAGATGATCTTTTCAAGATTTTCGAGAAAATTAATCAAATTTTCCGGGGAGAAGAAATCTATATATAACGCTTCAAATAATGGAGGAAAGGATATATTATAGAACTTAGTAAAATGTGTGACCTTGGCATTTTAAATGGTCGTAAACTAGGAGATAGTATAGGTAACTTTACATTAAGTACAAAACGGTTTAACACCAAGTGATATTAATGAAGCAGTAGCTGACAGTGAATGATCAGATTACTTGTTGTCATGTATTACCTCTTAATATGTACTCAGACCATTGCCCTACACTGCACAGAGTTAAAGATAAAGGCAATGTACTATCGTGATGATGGATATATTGAAAAGGAGGGAATATCATTGAGACTATCGAACGCCGCCTTTAGATGGCAAGGGCTTGTTAGTAAGCAACAGTTTGAAAGGACATTAAATCAGCCTCAAAATAAGGACAAGATACAGTTTCTTTTGTATGAGGATTATCCACTTGATGACAGTAGAATTGATTGTGCGGTAGAGGGGATTAGTGAGTTCAATTAAATTGTGGGTAAGACAGCTAGAATACCCAAGAAATTGTATAGGAAAAAGACCGTCACAAGTACAAGTTCAGCGGCATCCCAACGCGTGTTAAACTTAATACACGCATTTCAATGCGCTGTAGCTAAATAAATACTTATGATGGTTTCGTGAGACGCAGCCCTGGAAGAAAGAAACAAAACAGAATGCACTGTGATAGAGAGACTGAGGCAACAGGGAAAAGAGTCAAGAAGCTATGCCAAGCGGTTTGCAGGAAGCTATTCGATATGAATTTAAGAAAGTTGTGTTACACATGAAGAAAACTATAGAAAAATGTAAAGATAATGAAAGAGAAAAAGGATTGGCAAGTTAGAAAATTTGCAAAGTACGAATTCACGTGACTGGTGGAATATAATTGTTGCATTTAATGGACTACATTATTATGGAAAAGGACACATTTCTGAAAAAAGTACCTCAAATAGTATGGTATGATTATTTTGGAATTCGTAGATTAATTCATAACGGAAAACGTTTTAATTAATAATGCTTATTTTATTAAAAAAACTTTGTACATGTGAAGAAAAGAACAAGAACTGCTATGATTACATTTGGTTTGTTAATTATCTGTAACAAAACGTCATTTTGCCTTGTGACGATGTTATTTGAATAACTTCAAGTTCAATATAATATCTCCCTCTTTCTCTCTCTCTCTCTCTCTTTCTTTCTTTCTCTCTCTTTCTATGAACAAATATTATATCTATGTTCTATCCATACAGAGAGAGAGAGATAGAGAGAGAGAGATAGAAGGGGGAAAGAGAGAAGGAGACAGAGAGAGATAAAATATCTCCGGCTATTGCTAGGGGGCAATTCCACGGTAACGGAAGGACACTCAGACAAGATTTTTGAACTTCAGGTTCATACTAAAAGAAATGTTTTATAGTATGTATTAAACTATGGGGAACAAAATGTGTTTCAGTCAATTGGGAAGCTTCATCACCTTCACAAAGTTTGGATAAACACTAATTAACTGGAAAAACCATGTCCATTTTTATGTCCTTCCGTTACCGAGATAATTAATATGCACATTCTTAAACTACTTAACTATAATGACAATTTTTTGTGTGAAAATTAAAGGCACTTATATAGGTATTATATCTGTACTGTTTCACATCTTATACTAATAAAACAGTTCTTTTAGTATGAACCTGAAGTTCAAAAATCTTGTCTGAGTGTCCTTCCGTTACCGTGGAATTGCCCTAGGGGAAAAATAACATAACTACTCGTACTTACTCATGAAGAGGTTGAACGTAATTCGTGATTTGTTCAATTAACTTTCATTTCCTCAATTATTTTTTAACACGTAGTGATGCAGTTGGGGTTCGCCTTCTTGGAAGCGGGATCGGTACGGTCCAAAAACACCACCAACATCCTTTTGAAGAATATGCTTGATGTCTGTAAGTATTACCTTTCATGTTTTACTTAAAAGTTTATCAAACTTATTTCCTTCTGTCATTAAAAAAAATAAATCATAAGCATCTCTCTTCGTTCCGCATGTTCCATGCTCACCTCTCCGACAGGCCTCAATTTGTTAAATTGGGGCTGTTCAAAAATTATGTTAAACCAATAGCTCCCTTACCTAACAAATCAATGATAATCTAAATAAAATGAACAAAACACCGACGATTTAATACCTCAACATCAATGTGAAATTTACTTGCTCCATCAAGATGCGGAAATCCGCTGAACTTTGAAAATAATACTTATCTCCAAATTCATGAAAATTCCAACCCCACCCCCAAAATCCGCCACAGAACAACAACAGATATCTGCAAAAAGAAAACAGAATGCAACAACGAAAGCTCGGAAGAAATAAATCGAACCAAAAATGCTCATCCATTATAGTAACAGGAATACTGCCAAAGCGAGAAGGAAAAAAAATCACGGAGAGGAAGTTATGAGAGAAGTGATATATGGACCCAATTTTCTTTTTTCACGAATTGACTTATTGATATTTCCCCCCCTCCATTTTCTGTCCCTAAATGTGAGGGGCTTGCGAGACAAACTGCAACGAAACAAGATATTTTTGTGGTTAAATTACCAAAAATGTGACGTTGTAGTTCTACAGGAGACATTTTGTTCATCCGATCTAGAGTTAACTAGAGTTTCTGAATGGAGTGGTAAATGTATTTAATCATGGATCAAAACACGCAAAGGGTGTTTTTAATTTGCTTAGCAAAAATACAATTTTAAGTTATTGGAAACATATACTAAAAATGATTGAAGAGTAATCGCTATGATAGTTGTATACAAAGATGAATCATTTCAGGGCTGAATGTATACGCTCCTACTAGACGGACAGAAAAGCATTTCTATCAAATTAGCTAGATTTCTTCAACAACAAAAAACAACTGAAAACTTACCTGTACAACTGCTCTTAAATTGTTGATAGTCTAAGAGACAGCGCCTTGTATCCTTTGGAAAAGGCGTTATATAAATCCAATTATTATTATTTATTATTATTATTATTATTAGATCTTAACCCTTACTGTACTGGGGGGGGGGGGGGGATCTCTTTGACCGTGGGAGAGCTAAGTGGAAAATAAATTGATTGAAAGACTGGAAACAGAAAATATTAACGTTTAATGGTAAAGTAGTTGTTATCAAAGCCTTTATCAATTCACAAATCTTTTTTTCCTCTTATCCTCAAGCGAGGTTTTTATTTCCATAATAGCAATACATATTTACATTAATAACTCAATGATTGAGTGAAACATAACATAGGTTAAAAATTAGAGTATATTCAACAATTCTTCCAGCTTAGTATTATTTTCTTTGCTAACACATTCATATCTTAAAAATTATCTTAGCAACGACAAATCTTTTATACGCCAACTGTTGTACCTGTTCCAAAATTTGTTATTAAATAATTGAATAGAATCATTTATGCTTTTCTTTGGAGTTCAAAAAGAGAAATAGTGAAAAGAAATGTCTGTATAAAATACAAAGTTAGTTGATGGTTTTGATCAGATTGACGTTAAATCGAGAAAAAAAATATTTGTACTTATCTTTGATAAGCAAGATATTATATGAATACATTTGTAGACGGAAACCATTATTCAAATATTGGATTGAAATAATTGGGACCTTTCCAGATATCTCTAGATTTAATTTAAATAAGAAAGATTTTTATGAAAATGTTGTGTAAACAAAATAGTCTGCCAGAGTTTTATCAAAATCTTCTTAAAGGTACTATGTCCCTTTTGCAGCCAACCTCAAATTCTGTAGAACTTTGCAAGAATTGTGAATATGTCATGTATGTCTTATCACTGTCAGACACTATTGAGTGACTGACTGGCTTTTTTTCTTCTTTGGTAATAACAAACATAAAATGAGGTGTAAAGGGTACATGAGCATTTGTCTACACCAATAACCCACTTCTTGTGATGGCCCAAATTAAATTTATTGAATCTTTGCGCAGCATAAAATATGACCATTCGGTACAATGGTCTGAAAATCAAGACTATTTCTTATTGGCTCTATAGCTCCTAAGTCGATTCGACAACTAATAGTCTTTATTTTCCCACTTGGAGACATTTTCAAGCCCCACCTTTTTTAGGGAAGTTCTAAACTAGTATTATCTTTCAAATGCCGTTGGAATTTAACCTTTTCATTTTTTTTGGCCTGCAAATGGGACATAGTACCTTTAATGCATGGTCAGATTGTAAATATCGAGGTTTAGTTGAGGTAACGGAAATAGAAGAGGAGATATTATGGAGAAATATTCATATAATATTTTAAAATTCTACATTATTGTTTGTAAAATGATATGTAGCTTGAATGTGTAAGGTAAAGCACGTGAAAAAAAAATGGTGGAATGATTCGATTATGTTGAATAGTAAAGTTAGTATCCATCAATTCGTTCCTGTTTTCACGAAGTGACGGTAGTGAGGAAAATCCGCATTCACATTGTATGCGATTTTCATTCACTACCGTCACTTCGTGAAAATAGGGACGAATTATTATTGGAGTTCGAATACGCCAAATTAAAAAAAAAAAAGGTTTTCCAAGCTATTGGTTAAATAAAGTATGTATTCGAAAGAATGTTCCATTGAGTAGTAAACAAATCAATTCAAATTTGATAGAAGTAACTTCAGGAAATGTTGTTGATATTTAGTTTGAAGGCGAAACATTATTATATCCCTCCTTAAACACAAACTTCAGAAACTAATTGTAACACGTTACTCGAAAATTATATGAATTTACTTTTTTTTTGAATTGGGGGGGGGGGGGGGGGGGGGGGTTAAGCGGACACTTTTTTTTTTTTTTTTTTGAGTCCAAAAAATAATCGCAACGACTCAACCAGCCGAAAAGTCGCTCAGGGGGGGGGGGGGGGGGGGGGGGTGTTAGTGAGCACATGTTTTGTTTTTTTTGGTCCTCGAAAATTTTAAAATTTGCACCCCCCCCCCTTGAGCGCAAGGTAAAAATCGCGTGATTTTACATGATTTTTTTCTCAAGAGGGGGGGGGGGGGGGGGGGGGGGCGGGCCCCTCCCCTGGATCCGCCACTGACTCCTTCTTCCCACAATTTTCCCTGTCAAAGCAAGATTCTCTAGGCCTTCTTTACGTGTAATGTGACCCATGAACTTCAACTGCCTAATCAACATCTCACGTATCATTTTCCTTTGTACTCCAGCTCGTGTAAGAACTTCCTCATTACTAACTTTGTCAGTCCAGGGGGGTGTTTCATTAAGCTATTCGTAAAGTTACGCATGACTTTACGAACGACTTGTATATGAAAAGCCAATGGGATGCTCAATCATTCTTGATTATTATTTATTAACCTGATCTGTGCAGATGTAGATTAACCTTCTTATTATAACAAACTTTTTAATGCAAAGTTTATTTTTTGCCATAATTTAATTGAGGTTATTGGAAATATAAAAAAAAACTTTGGGCATCTTCTCTGGCACTTCATAATAAGTCGTTCGTAAAGTCATGCGTAACTTTACGAACTCTTTATGAAACACCCCCTGGGGATTTTCATCATTCTTCTTAAAACCACATTTCGCAACTTTCCAAACGCTTTTTAGTATCAGAGGCTAAAGTCCACGTTTCACTACCATACATAAGTACTGGGTAGATGTAACAATTCAATACTCTTATTCTGGTCCTCATACTCATTGCATATGGAAACGTTGTATCATCTGCTCAATCTGACTTGCGTGCATAGAACACATAAGCATTTTTCCATGAAAAAGTGAAGTTTTCTAAAATGTGCGTTTCTTTCCAGCATTGGGGCGCCCGGGAGTCACTCGGGTAACATTTCATTAAGTACAATATAAAAAGACCATATGCAAATTTTCTGTACTTTTGTCGGAAAAAATACATTTATCCAGCACAATGTCGTCCCTTTTTGCGTTGGAGAAGAGCAAATAGCGAGTTTCAATCACACTTTGGCCGCTCTCGTAAGCTCTCACTCGTTTCACTGTGGTCAAGCGACTTTGGGGCAAGCGGTTAATGAAAATACTAATCATTAGCTCTCTTCTAGTATTAAACTTGTTTTGATTGATTGTATAATTTTGTCGGAATAAAGGAAACAAAAAGACTTGACCAATAACTTATTAGGGTCTGAATTGACCTTTTGACCTTGAATTCCCTGATGCAAGCGCATAAATGACGTCATCTTCGCTAAATCGGTGTCTTTTATCGTAAAATGCTACACTTTCACAATGTTTATACATCTTTTTTTAATTATTAGTAAGATATAACATATTTTGTCTGATATCACTGAAGTTTGGGGTTTTATTTAATAAGAGCCATTTTATTGTTTTAATTTACTGGATCGTACCATTAAAGTCGCAAGGTAGAAAGATGCATTTTCCAACCGCGCCAAATTTAATTTACGTTCCGACATTCTGTTAAATGGGTTCGTGTTGTTAAGAATCCACTGCTTTCTGCTCCAACAAACGTTCACATGCGGAGTCGTTTATCAACTAAATTATTCAAATTTATGGATGCTTCCTTCCCAGGTGTTTGTGTTGTTGAAGCATTTCATTCACCTGCTATCATTCTTTGTACTCCAATTGCCAGAACGCAAATTACATTTTGGTTTTATTGTTTCATGGCGGAGTCGTTTATCAACTAATTATTCAAATTTATGAATGCTTCCTCCCCAGGTGTTTGTAGTGTTTATGCATTTCATTCACCTGTTATTTGTTGTACTTATATTGTTAGAATACAAAATGCATTTTGGTTTTATAGTTTCATGCAATAAGTAAGTCAATAAAAGAGTATGTTCTGCACAATAAAAACAATGTGTGTCCCTATTGTAAAATGTAATATGTGTCCCCTCATTTTGTAATAGTTAATTTACCCATTCACATAATAGAACTACCTGCCTGGTGAAGCCACTGGTCCGTGACCCCTGAGCACTCAACACCGTCTGGGAGTCAGTTTGTGTTCAACTTCTTTTATGAGACAAATAGAAGCAAACGTTTCCATATGTCGATTTGTCAGAATTTTGCCTAACTTTGAAAATGCAGATTTAGCGAGAGCTATCCTATTGAAAGAGTATAATAGTAAAAGTCTGTGTATCAATTTCAATTAAAAACTACTATATCATATAAGAAATAAGTAAAGCGTTTTATTAACGAAACACACAACGAATTATTTAAGACACGTAAGGTTATAACCATGCATTTACTTACTTTTGTCTTTTATCTTATGTTTCAAATGTACAATAATGTAAATATATATGATGATCAGTATGTGAGATAAAACAACTCGTTAAGAGGATAAGAGAGAATTTTGTTTCCATATTCAATATAACTAAAAAAGCAAATTCGTACGTTGTCACTTTATGTTTTATATTTCTATCCACAGGCATAGGGGCGGTAGCCTACTGGGGTGTTGGATATGCCTTCGCTTTCGGAAAATCATCCAATCCTTTCATCGGCTATAGGAATTTCTTTTTCGAAGACATGGTTCCATCCGACTATTCGCATTTCTTCTTCCATTTCGTGTTCGCCGCTACGGCTGCCACTATCGTCTCCGGCGCGATGGCGGAGCGAACCGAGTTCGCAGCCTACTTCATGTATTCGTCACTAATAACGGGTATACAGTCGTAACTATGTGTGTGTGTAATATCTTAATTTGTATATCATTTAAGGCCCACCGTACCACACACTATACAATCTTCCTGCTATCCGATTTTGAAGGGGAAAATGACAATTTTATTACATAATATATAACAAACATCATCTCCCTGATGGAGGTTGATATTGATGAGAATGCTATTAAAAAAAGAATATTTTAGTGCATTGAAGCCTAACTTCTTGTCAGAATAAAAGATGTATGGGCTTCAAATCGTAGACGATCTTGATCATAATACAATACACATTGGAAATCCTTCTTTGGTAACAGGACACCGCTAGTTAGCAATACTCCTAAAATAATTTTCCCTTAATAAATGTTAATCACTTTTGTCATGATTGTTGATACTTTCATGGATTTTCATTATGTTTCTTTACTTGCTAAGCCAAATCGACTCCACACTAATTCAAACTGACCAATTCAGTGTCATTTTTCGGTAATCAAATTTTTGTTTGTCGGCCTTTTTGGTATGAATTAACATGTGAAGAAAATATTTTGAATTTACTGTCCTTAATCAAACGTACTAAGGTGTTCAAAACTTGAAGTACGTGGTCTGTTTTATTTTTGCCTTCAGGATTCATCTACCCGGTGGTGACTCACTGGGCGTGGTCATCCGATGGTTGGCTTGGCAACAGTGGAATAGAGATCGCCGATGGAACTTATTTGGCTTTTAAGGTAAAGTGATCGCTGGAGAAACTTCAATAGACCCATTTGAAGCTATTTTTACTTGGTTATTATATTTTTAAGCATACTACCACTACTATTGACATCATTGTGGTCTTGGAACTGTTTCGGTTACTGTCAGTTTCTTGTAATTTTGTTAAATATCTTACCAAATCTTTAATTTTATTCTTACAGGACTTTGCATCCTTGCACCATCTTGAAACCTTGTTTGGTCCTCTATAATGATTTCGTATGTTCCTACAATTATTGACGCTCACATTAGGAAATTATTCCTTGCCATTTTGTAAATTTCTCAATAATTCTTTATTTATTTAGGATTTCGCAGGAAGCGGCGTCGTTCACTGTGTCGGAGGCACAGCTGCTTTGGTCGGAGCGACCATCTTGGGTCCTCGTATCGGGCGCTACGACGCGAATGGGAAACTGGTCGTTATTGCCGGGCATACTGTACCGGTACGTTTAGAATTATCTATCATATCATATTCTTACTTTTCATTTATGTACACACTCAGTCTGATTATGATAATATACTGAGGGAGCTTTTCAACCCACAAGATTCTGGTTTTTTCCCCCTTTTTTTTAAAACTTATCTATTATGTTACTGTATATGAATTGTATTTGATGTAAAATTTTTAATGATTTGGAGAAATAAAATTATTGAATTGAATTGAATTGAACTGATAAATCATTTTCAAATACTCTCGAAAAGCAGAGGAGAGGAAATTCTTCTACTTTTTTTCTTCTCTCCTACTTTCTCTTTGTATTGTTATTGCTCTTTCTATTCTTGCTGTTATCACTCTAAGTCATCTTCTTCTTTTACTTCATTTTCGCCTTCATCTCCATCTGGTTTTCGTTTCCTTTTCTTCTTCTCCTATTCCCTTTTCTTCGTCTTCGTTGGCATAACTATCAGACGCCATTTCCAAGTACTCTCTTAATGCGGAGCAGTGGATATTTATTCTTTTTAGGGGTCATGATTGGTATAATCTCTTAAATCCACCAACACTTTTAAGAGTGGATTATTAATTATAACGAATTTTCATTCCAAACCAAGTGATCCATCTTAATGACTGCTCAAGAGGTGCATTTACAATCCAGTTTTAGACAGCATATTCAAATACTCGCCAACGCTTATAGTAATGGCCATATTTATTTAATGCTTCTTTCCATGTCAATTTAGATGGTTTCACTTGGCGGTTTTATTCTATTCTTTGGCTTCTTCGCGTTCAACGGCGGCTCTCAAGGAAGGATATCTGGCGAAGGAGACGGGGAGGTGGTTGCCCTTGCCATCGTCAATACTATCATTTCTGGCGCTTTTGCCGCCCTCACGGCTATGATTTGCCGCCGCGTTGGTTTCAGCGGGAGCTACTGGTCGTTGCTAACAACCATCAACGGTGGTCTTACTGGAATGGTCAGTGCAAAACAAGCTATCAAGTACAATAAAAACGTTACTTATAAAGCGCTTACTGCCGAAGTCTCTAAGCGCTATAACACACAAAATAGACTGATATACGATTACATCTTATACAAAACTAAAAATGCAAATAAACCTACAAATTACAATACATATGGAATACACATCGAAGTGAACAGAGTTAATTAATCATCGAACGCAATTTTGAATAAATGTGTCTTAAGACTAGTTTTGAATAGGTTAACGGTTTGACAGTTTTTGACATTTAAAGGTAATCTGTTCCAAAGTATGAAGTATGAAGTAGTAAGCTGAGTTTTTTTAACCAACGTAAAAATGGATTGGCAACTACTATAACAACGAAAGTCTTACGTGTATTCACTGAACTCTGTGTTGTAAGAAAATATAATAAAATATTATCGAGAAAATAAAAGCATATAATAATTCATAGCGTATTGAGAGTAATAGTTGTGACACGCCCTACTACGCGTAACCGAGATGGGTTATAGGATGAACCATGTTGCTCCAAATAGTGCCATCCCTCGTATAATCTCTATGAGAACTTTTTTAGGGCTTCATGTCACTATGAATATGACGGACAAAGAAAGAGGACAAAATATACAGTTCCTCAGGTAGACAAAGGAACATCCCTTCGCTGCTATTATGTAAAAATGTGTAGAACAGGTGTCACATGATATTCACCTGTTCTACCAATTTTACATAATTATATAGCAGTGAAGGGATGTTCCATTGTCTACCTGAGGAACTGTATATTTTGTCCTCTTTTTTTGTCCGTCATATTTATAGTGTGTAATGCCTGATTAATCAGAAGCAACTTCCGATGACGAAACTATATCTCTCAAGTAGCTTTGATAATAATCCGTGTGAAACTTATCCATGTCTGGAAATGGATTTTCATAATCATTTCGCTGCGTTCTTCCCCTTTTCAGGTGGCCATATGTGCAGGATGTAATGTGGTTTATGCTTGGGGAGCAGCGGTCATAGGAACGATAGCTGGTGTTACTTATATTCTCTGGAGTTCAGCAGTCATCCGGATGCGAATAGATGATCCACTGGACGCAGTAGCCGGTAACAAAAAATAAAGAAGGCAGTTGTTTCTTCCTTTTCTTCTTCGTCCTTCTTCTATACTTCCTTCTTCTTTTCTTCTCCTTGTTGTTTTTCCTCTTCTTCTTTTATTATTCCATTCCTCCTTTTATTGATCATTCTTCTTCTTCATCTTCTTTTTGTTTTTCCTCTTCTTCTTTTTATTCATCCATTCCTCCTTTTACTTATTCTTCTGCTTCCTGTTACTGAATTTGTTCTTCTACTACTACTCCTACTTCTGCTACTACGCCAACTACTTCTCCTGTAATCAGGCGCGCCGGAAGCAGTTTGGGATGGGGGGGGGGGGGCAAACATTCCAGGGGGCTCACCTTCCAGGGGCAGTGACATAATGAGCAAAAAACTTTGGAAGGGGGGGGCAGAAGAATAATCTGCATAACCACCACTCTTACACGTTACATGCAGGCCGCACGGAGCATTTTTCAAAGTGGGGTATTAACGATCAGGTAGACCGTAAATTGGCGTGGGGTCCAGGGCCTGAGCCTCGGCAGGGGGTCCGCTGAGCCCCCAGAAGCTCAGGGTTTTTAGGCATTAAATTACGGTCAGATAAGCATATTCAGACGCCTTATGTGTGACACTGGCAGGCCACTAATTGGCGGAGAGTCCATGGAGCAGAGCCCCCGGAAGCTCAGGGGTTTTAGGTATTTAATTACGGTTAGATGAGCATCCAGGGGCCCTCTTTAAGGCCATTGATGTGGTCCAGGGGGCGGAGCCCCCGTAAGCTCTGGGGTTTAAGGCATTTAATTACTATCAGATGAGCATATTTTGATACCTCATTTGTGACATTGGCAGGTCACTTTTTTTCTCTCTCTCTCTCTTCCTTTCCTCTTCTCTGTAACATACTTTTTCAAAAAGTGAGGGGGGCTCGAGCCCCCGAGCCCAGCCGTTTTGCAGACCATGACATAAAGGGTTCTAAATAAGCATATTTTTCGCCCGACTGTAAATTTGGAAATTTCTAATTTTCCAACAAACGTCTAAAAAGGTATGACTTATAAAAAGAGTTGAGAAAAATACCGGAAAATCGTGTCATTTCAGCAACATTTGTAAATCACTGGTATCGAATAAGACATACCCCCCCCCCCCTCCTCCCCCCACCAGTACACCAGCGTTCAGGGGCTCATGTTTCCTCACCCCTACAACAACAAAAAACAGACACGCTTTTCCATTCTCTCACAATACGTCAACGATATGCGCGTGTCGCTATTAAAAAACCTCCATTGATAAATATAGGTGGCATGCGCAATGTTTAGGAAATTTTCTTCCAGTTAAGTTTCCTTTTCTTTGTATGGACATTTATATGTGAATTAATTCAGGTTTTATTATTGTTATGTTCTTTTGGGTTAAAAATACAAACCATCTGTACTCCTTTACTGCTTTTTTTTTTTTTGGAGAGGGGGGGGGGGGGGGCGGGGGGCGTTTTACCCCCCTTTTTTTTTACTGCCCCCCCCCCCACTTCTGGCGCCTATGCCTGTAATATAATTAATTCTTCTACTTTTTTTTAAAGAACCAGTAGGCCTACTGTACTTCAGTCTTGTTATTTTCTTCTTCTCCTCCTCTTCTTCTTCTTCTTCTTCTTTTTCTTCTACTTCATCATCACCTTCTTCCTCTTTTTCTTCTTCTTTTACCTATGCTCTTTCCTATTTTCATTTCCAATTCATCATTATTCTTGTCAACAAAAACTGGACATCATTGTGTAACATGAAAAGTGAAAGATGAAAATAATCCGAACTTTGAACCTTAAACTTTGAACCTTAAACTTTGAACCTTAAACTTTGAACCTTGTCTTTGCAGTTCACCTAGGAGGTGGTTTCTGGGGAGTTTTAGCGGTCCCTATCTTTGACATGAATGATGGAATCCTCTTCAACATCACAAGCAGGGTGCCATGGATGGTAGGTGGATGTTATTTCTTTTTCTTCTTCTTCTTCCTCTTCTTCTTCTTCTTCTTCTCCTTCTTCTCCTTCTTCTTCTCCTTCTTCTTCTTCTTCTTCTTGTACTAATACTTATTCTTCTTCTTCTTCTTCTACTTCTCCTACTCTTTCTTCTTCTTCCTCTTCTTCTTCATCTTCTTCTTCTCCTCCTTCTTCACTTTCTGCTTCATTTTCTTCTTCTACTTCTTCTTCTACTTCTTCTTCTTCGTCTTCTTCTTCTTCTTCTTCTTCTTCTTCGTCTTCTTCTTCTTCTTCGTCTTCTTCTACTTCTTCTTCCTCTTCTTCTTCTTCTTCTTCTTCTTCTTCTTGTACTACTACTTATTCTTCTTCTTCTTCCTTCTCTCTTTTTCCCGCTTCTCGCTTTAGATTATTTATTTATTCACTTGTTATAAATTGTATCATTATTGTTCTATTTATTTGTTATTTTGATTAAATATAATTATTGTTACACGTATTATTTTTTTTAATTGTTATTATTGTCATTATAACTGTTATTAGACTTATTATTATAATTTTTATTATAATTCATATCATTATTATCATTTTTATAAATATTTTAATTTATCATCAATAACATTTGTATTATTGAATATAGGAATAGTTATATTTAGTTCAAAAAGCAATGTAGATAGCTCACATCAATTTTGTGATTTCCATATTTTTTATCTTTGTAGCATTTTGCTTGGAATCTCCTCGGAGTCGTGGCGATATTCGTGTGGACCGCTCTTCTCTCCTTCTTCATGTTTGGAATCTTTAGATGTCTGAAAATTCTCCGAGTTGACCCCGAGATAGAGAAGAAAGGTAAGATCACACCTGGGACCCGTTTCACAAAGCTTTTTTTCAATGACAAATGACAAAAATCAGTGACAAATCTGCTGATAACCAATCAGAAGCAAGGATTTGATCAGTAGCTTCTAACAAAAACTGTCATTTATCACTGATGACAAGTTTTGTGAAACACCCCCAGGCCTATGTTTGTAAAGACTCCGCATTAAACCGGGAAAGAAAGAAAGAAAGGGTCGTACACACTTAGCTTATAATAGCTAGAGTGATTTTTTTTGTCAATACTCAGGATTGAACATTTTGATACCAGAGAGAAATAAAGAATCGTTCACAGTTTTGTAGTTTTTTTCTTCTAATTGTGAAGAGAATGTTTGTCAATACTCAGGGTTAATTTAAGATAGAAAAGAAAGATTCTTTCAAATTTTAATAGTTTTGCTAATAGAGAAAATGTCTGTCAATACTCGGGGTTATCCGAGTCAGAAAGAAAGATTCCTAGTCACTTAGTTTGTCTAATTATGGAAATAATGTTTGTCAATTCTCAGGGTTGGTTCGAAAGAGAAAGGATAACAAAATTCGTTTCAACTTTATAGATTTGTGTTCTTCAATGCTCAGGGTTGATCGATATAGGGTCGATCCGAAATAGAATAAGTTAGGTGAGATGTGTTGGCTTAAGAATTATTCTTAAAGGCATCGTTTAACAATGTTAAATCTGAGATGCATGGCCCTACGTGGTATCAGTGTCTTTGATATGGTGTAATATTGAAGCCCTGAACAATTGCGCTTCAAAATGATCCCGAAGTGCCTCAAAAAAGTAAAAATCTTTGAGTGACCGGTTTTTACCATACTCGTTTCCCCCAATAGACTGTACTGTTATGAAAACCGTTAGGAAAACGAAAAATGAAATTTCGATTTCAATCATAAATATCTTGATAATCAGACAGGCGATCGGATTCCTGATTGACCTAAATGTTTATAATTATTGCAGCATGAACTAAATCCATGATTTAGTTTCAGAATCTGAGACAAAGTTACTCAATCCCTATAAGTAAAAAAAAGTCTAACAAAAAATGCATAACTCAAATCAAATCTCATCAAACTAAAACTGATAAAATAGGATGAATTATATTGATTTGTTTCAAATGTTATATATATAATATTAGGTTTGGATATTCCGAAGCATGGCGAGCCGGCCTATCCTCTGGCAAGCTACGGTAACGGCTGGGAGGATGAATCGGTCATCGACGCTTCTCCAGTACGACCACCACCTAGTAAGTATTTTTTTTTTTAAATCTTTAAATCTTTTAATCTTTTAATCAGGAGCGGTCCTAGATTTGTTGTTGTTGATGGGGGGGGGGGGCGCTTGGGGAAGAGGAGCTTGCATTTATTTTCTCAATGTGCCTCACTGAAATTAATTTATAATCTTTATTTATAATTTTTTCTCTGATGGAAGAGGCAGCTTGAAAATAAAAAAAATCTTGAGGGGGAGGGGTTTTGCGACCCCCATAAACCCGCTATAAAACCGTTACTGCCCAAAATCATTAGGGGAAAATGAACAGTGGGAGTCTATAAAAGGCATCCGATTTCTAGCAAAAATATCATACATTAACTTAGTAAACTTGTTGAAATATACAATTATAATAATGATATGATAGTTCATATAACATTGTCTTTAGTTTGATAAGTTGATCATGAATATGCGACTACGGATGACTAACCAGTTAGCACTATAATTTAAAAAAAAATAATTTTCCCAAGTTTTTGATAAAATAGTGTTCAGTTGTTTTCTTCAAGCGTGGGTGCATGGAAAATATATTACGTTGACCACCAATTTCATTCGAAATTTGGGCAGAGATAAATTTACGCAGTTTAGTATAATTTAAATACATAATTTATGTCTGGTAATTGCGGAATATAAGTTATCAAGTATCATTTTAATTTAATTATCACATTTTTTTTTATCATTTCAGGCTACAAGATGAACGGTAATAGCCATGATAACAAGGCTTATAGCCTCGGTGAAACGCAGAACTCTGTTGATCATGAACACATCCAAATCGACGATACTCCAAGGGTCCAGTTTGATTAGACCATTTTCGTAATTTAAAGGGATAGTTGAGTTTTGTTGCAGAGGGCGCTACACAAAATAATTTTTGTTGTGAGGTAATGAAAAACTGAGTGTCAAATTTGAAAGAACATATTCAAAATGACAAAATAATCTTTGTTTGATCATAATCGGTTCAGAGACGGCTGAAATATCCATAAATATAACGATTTCTAATTTTGTTAAGTCCATGTGACAAAATATTCTATTCTCCTGTTACGAATAATTGTATGTCAATAGTCGGAATGCGAGTTGCGTACATTAATTATTACTAGGTAGGACCAACATTATGGCTTGTCCTATCTAACAGCATGGAACATATGCCTTCTCATTCTGACTATTGTTACATGACTTTTGTGGATGAAATAACGTGTAACATGGCACCGATATTTATGCACTAAACATGAGTAAAATGGCCTATTCATCTAGAAGCTAAAACTTGAAATCACTAGAGGCTATTTTTGTATTACGTATGATTGGAAGACCATTAACTATGCACTTTGTTTTGAAAGACTTAAAGTTCAATAAGTCAGTGTTTAAAGATACTATGTCCCTTTTGCAGCCAGCATCAAATTCTGGAGAACTTTGCGGGAATAATGAATATGTCATGTTGTCCTATCTGTGAAATTTAAACGTTAACAGTGTCCTAATATTCAAATTATGCAAGGAAACCCGTTTACTTGCTAAACTTCACTCTCAGACACTATTGAGTGACTGACTTTTTTTTCTTCTTTGATAATAACGTACATAAAATGAGCTGTAACGGGTACATGAGCATTTTTCTACATCAATAACCCACTTCTTGTAATGGCCAAAATTAAACTGATTATATCTTTGCGCAGCATGAAACGTACGACCATTCGGTACAATAGTCTGAAAATCAGACTATTACTTACTGGCTCTATAGCTCTTAAGTCGATTCGACAACTAATAGTCGTTATTTTCCCACTACATTAGTATTATCTTTCGAATGCCGTTGGAATTTAACCTTTTCATTTTTTGGGCCTGCAAAAGGGACATAGTACCTTCAAGTATAATTTCTTTTGTTTAAATTGGTTCTGCATATTCTGAAGTTGACTTGTGTAAGGCATAATTTCTATTTCGATGCCCGCATCTCAAGAGTGTTTTGGCTATAGCCATAAACATAACATTATTTCTAATTTCCTTAAAAATAATCCAATGTAGTAGTAAAACTAGTAATTTCAAGCAATAAGGGAGTTTACAGATAGCACATGGTTAATGATCCCAAATATCCACAGATCTTTTACACATGGAGAAGTTCCACTCTGAGCATATTAGAATAATAACTGCCAAAGTCCTAGATGTGCTTCATTAATACCTTTTATTTGCCCTCTTGAAAAGAATACTTCCACCTGCGTATCATAGAATGTACCGTTGGTGCATTGCATAAATGAATAATGTTACATAACTTTCATGAGCGCATATCCAGTATTCATCTCTGTGGGTTTTACCTTTTTGGTACAAATGACCTTTATCTGCCCATGCGCAGATTGTATCTGTAAACTCCCTTATTACAGCAGTTCAAAAGTGACAGAATGAGTGTTCTACGAGTTATAATAGACCGGTTTGCTGACATATTATTCATATTCTAGGCATACTTTTTCTTGATAACCTAAACACTTGCCCGATGATTGCTTAACATGGTATGGTATGGTATTTATTTCATTCTTCATAAAAAAACATATACAATACATACAGAGTATTAAAAAAAAATTATAAATACATGTAGAAGGGTAACATTACTGATAATATGAATACAATAAAATTAACAAGGAAACTAGTTAAGAAAGCAAATTTATGTCGAATGAGGGGTCAACAAATAAGAGCATTTAGCCTTGTTAAACGTTGACCCCTAAACAAGTACGTAATTAACATAAAATTATGAAGAAAAAGAAAGCAGGTAGAAATAGTAAAACGGAAAAGGAAAACATTATACAAAAAAAATAACATATATATATATATATATATATATATATATATATATATATATATATACTATGATATTCAGGTTGTTGAGAACAAATTTGATAAAAACAATCAAAAGGAACGTTTAAAACTACTTAAGGAAGGTTGATTCTTTAGATGTTTTGGAATCGTGTTCCATAATGATCGCTTAACATAGCAATACGTACTGTATGCAGTCTGAATTCCAAATATAATAGTTTATTCATGTATAATAGGTTAATGCGGGAAAAGCTCGTCACCAGGTGCCAAGGAAATATTCACCCTTGAATTCAAACATATTTATGCAGCTGTCTATAGTATTCTTATAACAACAACTGAGAAGTTCTGTTTTAACATTCGAGCTATATATATATATATATATATATATATATATATATATATATATATAAAACGCTCTGTCTTTTTATGTATGGATAACTAGTGGTTTCTCAGTTGGGAAAAAGATGTTTCCTGACTAAAACTAAAAGTGACACTGGTTTTTATTTCAAGTAATATCAAATATGTGCATTAGGAAACGTTTATACATTTGTTATGCATGTATATTTTGCTTTTATCTGATGCTTTAACATTGTACTACACAGTCATCGATCATAGTTTACTATGGCTATATATATATATATATATATATATATATATATATATATATATATATATAATATATAACACTGTATTTTTATTTATGGGGAACTAGTGGATTCTCAGTTGCGCAAAAGATGTTTCCTGACTAAAACTAAAAGGGACACTGGTTTTTATTTCAAGTAGGCCTAATATCAAATATGTGCATTAGAAATTGTTCTATACATTTGTTCTGCTTGTTTATATCGCTTTTATATGGTGCTTTGACATTATGCTACAATTTCATCATAGTTTACTAAAGCTATATAAATTATATATCACATTGTATTTTTATTGATGGGTAACTAGTGGATTCTCAGTTGCAAAAAAGATATTTCCTGACTAAATCTAAAAGTGATACTGGTTTTTATTTCAAATATAGGCCTAATATCAAATATGTGCATTAGAAAATGTTCTATTCATTTGTTCTGCATGTTTATATCGCTTTCATAATGGTGCTTTGACATTATGCTACAATTTCATTATAGTTTACTAAGGCCTTTCATAAATCGACATTATTTTTATTTGTGTATATACGCCGACCACATTATGAAGCTTGCCGTAGTCTGTGTGATTTTTAACGTTACTTCTGTGATTCTTAGCAAATGTTAATAATGCGAGAATGCACTTTGTTTATTGACTCTCGTGATGCAAGTATATTTGCCGGTTAGAAAATTGAAATATGTTTTGTGTATTAGCTGGTAATATTAAATGAATAACAGGTAATATTAGATAGCTTAGACGTATACCGAGATATGATTGGTCCATGCAGAGCTCGTCACGTGATATCAGTTCCCTCCCTCAGCGCTGCGCGCTTCTGGAAATATCCACTTGAGAAAATAGAACTCCCTTCAGCGGTCCAAGAATGATATACTGAATGTCTTAATATTACATTTCCCATATCACATTGTACTATTTGTAATAATTGTATGTATTCTATATGTAGCATTTTTATTTGTAAATTCAAGATATATCATCTTTTAGCTGTTGACTGTGACTTCTTATCAATAAAAGTTCCCTTATAAAAATTTGTTATCATGGTACACGGTATTTTGGCCACGGTACATATATCGTGGTACTACATGTACCATGGTAGTACCAGGCAATACTGTCTATATCATGGTAATACCATGGTAACACCATGGTAATATTAAAACCAGGGTAGTACCATTTTTTTTATAAGGGTTGTCAAACTTAACCTAATTGTCAAAGTTTATTTCCTGACTAAAAAAAAGTCTGATTGTTCAATAAAAACCACGACGTAATAACCATGCAATTCGCAGCATTGTTTGGAAGAATCCATCACATTCTTGCTGAAATATCGTGGCTGCCTACAAAAATGTTAGTGTAATAAAGCACAATTTGTTGCCGTTCAACCAGTGCATTAGTTGCTATGATTGATTTGTTTAAAGTAGTCACCCGAAGAAAATTCACAACCGATAATTATTGACAAATCATAAATAGATGGAAAGATTTTCTCGTGTAAAACACAAATAATTGGCTGAAAAAAAAAATCATTTGGATATCATGGAAAGGCGTAAATGCTACGTGGCTAGCTGTGTCTCGTATGTGACGTCACGAATCATGACGCACTACGGAGGACCGCTGAAGGCAGAAAATCTGGATCTCAAAATCAACATTTTGAGAGACAATTACTGCGGGCCCCAAACATAATTTGGAGAGGAAAGTTGTGATATTTGATTAATAAGGCTTCCCCTTTGCAATGATATGAATTTTGCATCAATTTATAACACTTTTGATTCTTCGGGTTTGCGAAACGTAGCCTACACACCTGCAGAAAAGGATACCTTTCACTATAGTTCATTTTCGTAATGTAATCAAATTTAATGCACAAATCTTTATTAAGTGCCTCGCTAGAAATTATTTCATAATTCTCCTGTTCAAATAATTTAGTTCAATTGTCAGAATGCGAATTGCACTTGTTAGTTATGACAAACGATAATGTTTGTCCTGCCTAGCAACAATTAACGTATGCAAGTCGCATTCTGACTATCGAAGTACAATTATTTTTACGAGGGGAATGAAATAATTTGTAACGAGGCACATAACAAAGGCTTATGCATTAAATTTGATTATACTACTGAGGATAAATTTCTTATTTTAATCGGAGGTTGATCAAACTTTCCCTGAACTGTTCCCCTCAAATTTTCTGCTTTTGTATATCAGAGTGGACTTCCCCTTTAAGTAAGCATTTTACACTTCCAATACTAAGGCATTTAATGAAGATGAGCTTACTACATGAATCCAATAAACACACATGTAATACAAATAATACAAAAACAGAGAAAGACACAAAGCATGTTTTTATAACATACCATTTCAAGATATTTATTTGATAATCATACAAATATTAATTTGTCCAGTCTATGGTATAACCTCTGTGTCTATATACAATTCACAAGATAAATACAGATTTCCATTACATTGTATCAATTTTACCCAATTAAGTACGTTTAGCTATTTCTATCCATATGCAGGCTTTCAATCAAAATATTTTAAACATTCCAAATTAAAGCTACACTGAAGGCCTACTAGAGGTACTACCACAAAATCAGCTCAGGTAAGCTGTAGCAGTATGGTCCCATAACTTTCTGCGCTTCTAATCCTCTATGAAGCAGAATTAGGTACAGTCAAACCTGGACAGGTGGTCTTTGTAGATAGGTTCCTTTAGTACATGATTCAATGAGAAACCATTTTCAAGGGAAACAACAAATGTGGCCTTTGTAGACAGGTGGTCTTTGTAGACAGGTTCCTTTAGTACATGATTCAATGAGAAACCATTTTCAAGGGAAACAACACATGTGGTCTTTGTAGACAGGTGGTCACTAAAGCAGGTTTGACTGTATTGGGTTACGCACTATTGTTGGCAAGTTGACCAAGAGATGGTGCTGTGCAATGAACAGTGTACCAGCAGTATCAGTATACGTTCAGTATCGCTTTAACATGCGGAACTAAATAAAACAGTGAACTAAACATTCAAGGCTAGTTAAATAATATAGGAATGAAAAATATCTAATCAAAAGCAATATCATCATAAATGAGAACAGAAATGCGTTAATTATATATTTCGTCTGTTTGGAGACAGAAGGGGGTTGTCTCATATATATAACACTAAGTAAATGCCCTCCTGGCTCTGAACAGACGATATACTGTATTATCAGGACTGTAGGCCACTGATCGGTCAAAACTGCAGCTGAAAGATTCACTGCTGGGGGGCGTTTCACAAAGACTAAGATCAAGTTAAAGTCGGACTTAACTCTGGCAGGCCATTCATGCCACTGGTTGGTTTCTCCATTGGTCTCTCAATTATAATCTTTAGCGATAAAATTTTCCTTCAATAATGAACTTTCGAAACATGAAAATTCTGTAGATTTGTGACCATGATTGGTACGTCCCTCGAGAAACCAATGCCAGTAAATGATGAGAGAAAATAGTGGCATGGACGGCCTGCCATAGTTAAGTCCAACTTTAAGTCATTCTTAGTCTTTGTGAAACACCCCCTGGTTCATTAGATCACTGCCCAGGCAATAGTGAAAACACTCTCTGGACTGCAGGTCTTTTAGCACATGATTCATAAGGATGCAATAAATGAGCATTATATATGAAGTCAATACCTGACATGCACAATAAGACACAAGCTGTACCAAAATATTTGAATTCGTAATTTAAATAATTATTCCTCCAACGGACATAGGTTACAATTTTATTTTATTTGTAGCTTTAGAAACCAATGTCATTTTTTAATTTTTTTTTTTTTTTTGGGGGGGGGGGGGTGGGGAATGGGGTCATGATTTAAACTATAGCCCTCATGATTGCAAAACTATGTCCCTATAATCTAAAGGAATCCGTTGTTGCAGTGCCTAGATTGCAGCTGATATTTGCTATATTATTATTATCATCATTATTATTTATACTTATCATTATTATTGTTAGTATTATTATCATCGTCATTATTACCAAAAGAAATCCAACTGTTGAGTGCCTTGATTGCCTGCTTGCAGCCAATACTCTCCCTAAAAAATATTTTTGTTACCATGTAATGAAGCCACAGTACTTAACAGAGTACCTCCCGGATCAAAAGTTCATGAAGCAAATGTCCAACCCCTTTGAAAAAAGCACACAATTTTGTAAGGCACCGACATAAAAAACATTAAGTAAATTGCAGGAACTAACAAATTGAACTCTCTATACTTTTTTCTTAAGATGGGTAATTTACAACTACAAAAGGACGTTTAAAACTTTTTACCCAGGCCTAACATGTGTGCATCAAATTACTTATACATACTAATAATTCCACAAGTAATGTAGCAAGTAGTAGCAGTTTACTTTAAATGTACAAATTGTAAGGACTACATTAAACCTAAAATTTTACATTTCATTTATTTGAAAATTAAATCTTACATTTCATTGGTTAGTCTTTTAGATCATTGTAACACGCAGTTTAATTTGAATGAAGAGTTTGCTTCGATCTGTAATTGGAAACTTACATTACTCATCTAATCTAATCTAACACAATTGCAACTACTTCAAATAATCAACTCACATGCTATTTCAATACCTTATTGTATGTCTCATAGAGAGCATGTTCGAATGACGAAATACATCTTTGTATTGTAATGTTCGCATATTTCTATAAGTGATGTACTAGGCTATTGAAATTGCATTAGGTTGATTTTTTGAAAGTAGCTGCGTTTCCTAAACTTAGTCTGTGTCCAAGCATGCTTACGACTAGAATACAATGTGCTTACTGTTGCTATGTCAGGACCTAGTTTAGGCAAGATAAACATATCTCCAAGTTTTACAGAATGATATTTCCAAAAAAAATTCTATTCTCAATAATATTATAGATATTTTAATAACCATCTAAAATACAATATTTTATGAAATGGATGAATGGTTGAGAAGTGCTCAACTGTTGTGAAAGTTATATTCAGTTTCCATTTACATCATTACTTTGTATTTCTTTTACAGTGTCCATAATATTTTTTCAAAATTGAAACTTCTCTGAAAATGTTATTCATAATGCTTGGAACTGACCAAAACACAATCTCCCAATGGCTTGTTGGTGCCCCGATGCAGCTATAAATGTTTGCAAAGTGCAAAAAATAAAGTAGTTTGCAAAATTACCAAGTTCTGGGGGGTGTTTTACAAAGATCCCAAGTTGAACTTAACTCTAAGTTGGACTTTAATAATATGGAGAGTCATTTGTAGCCTTAACATAAAATATATTAAAAAGCAAAAATTGAAGTATTTTAGACTTTTCATAAATTCCACATCAAGAACATAAAATCCCCTTGATAATAGAAAATATGGATGATTTGAAACAACATTTATGCATTCTAAAATAACTTTTACAAAATATTTTCAATGATGCTGACGGCTTTCCATAATTATCAAGTCCAACTTAGAGATAAGTTCAACTTAGGATCTTTGTGAAACAACCATCCTGTTCTTGATTAGCTCCATGACAACCCTTTTAATACCAGTATACATTAATCTTGCACTGGTAACATTTAAATAATCTTGAAGCCTTTGGTACATTTATTCCATGATACATACCATGTGATGTGCACATGGAGATTATTTATGTGGCATATAAAGAGTTTAAAGAACTGGTACCGAAGAAAGTTACGAAATGCAACAAAGAAACTGCCAAATGGTATGTGAACATAGTGGTTGTAATTCTAAATGCATTGAAAACTTGAAGATCCAAATGCTTCTATAACCATTCTTATCCAAAGGAAAGGAAATTTATGATTCAGTGATTCTTTTTACCTTCATGTTATGTATTGTATATAATTCATTGTATTCAACATAAAGAATAAAGAGACTATACAAAAGAAGGTAGCTTACAAAAAAAAAAGTGGCCTGAAAAAACACATCCAGAACACAAAAAGCATAATAGCTGGTGCTGTTTCTTTTTTTGTTATATATCTATCTGAACAAAAATGTAGCTAACATTATAAAGCCTAATGGAGAAAGTACCTTTTTTCCAGCTCCATAGTTCTACTAAAAGCCAAACCTGTCTATAGCGACCGCCAAGGCAAACACTAAAAGTGATCTTTGTAGACAGGTTCCTTTAGTACATGTTTCAATGAGAAACCATTTTCAAGGGAGACAAAAATGTGGTCTTTGCAGACAGTCGGTCACTAAAGCAGGTTTGACTGTATTTGATAAAATTGTGATTTACAGCAATGATGCGTTTTGAATTCTGGATGCATCTTTTTGCGCCACTGCATTTTCGCTATGCTATCCTGGCGTTTATTTAGAAATTTACGCATGGCAGCTGTAAACTTGAAAATAAATCTGCAACAACTTAAGATGAAGTAAAGTCAAAAGAGCTACAGTTTGAGACTAGACTTCTAACAGTTTCAATATTTAGACCATAGCTCAGCTAGATCAAAAGGTGTTATGAATTCTAGCAACACCACAAAAATAAATACATAACATGACCTACATGTACTACATCGTCTCCTTGAATATATAAATCAGAATTCAATCTTTACAGTTACAGGGCCACTTGCAGATCTATAGCAACGACATCTTACAGAAAAACCCCAACAGTCTAGAAGAGTACCAAACATCAAAATGTGTGTATAGTTAAAGCACTCAGAAGACTACCTGTAGTCCTATGGTATACTGGTTAAAGAGTTTGAAGAAGTTAAAGAGGTTAACATCAAACCTCACAAGTTGCAGGCATGCCCAAATTTAATGCAAACTAGTAAGAGTGCGTCAACTCGCCCTACTCGCAAGTGCATTGACAGAGATATAGAAACTTGCAATATCTCTTTTATAGAAGTACTATTTGAAGCTTTTATAAATGTAATGCTTCCTGGGAGAAATTTCAATGATGTAAACATATTTGTGGCTTACACCCAGTAAATAAGATCGATTGATCGATCTGTATTGAAAAACAAGTCAGAAAAAATCTTGGAACCAGCGGGACTTGAGTCAGAATGAATCAGGAGAGCTTGGGTATTTGTTCTAGTTCATCGTGACTGTGCCATGGACCAGTGATGGCCTGGTGGTAGAGTCGCTGCCCGGCAAGCAGTAGATGCAGGTTCAAGTCCCACTGGTTCCAAGATTTTTTCTGACTTGTTTTTCAATACAGATCGATCAATCAACCATATTTACTGGGTGTAAGCCACAAATATGTTTAAATCATATTTGAAGCTTGTATGTAGAATATACATGTGCAGTCAATTCTGCGTTAAGCCCAACCACGGGGAACATATAAGGTAACCACTGTAAACAGCTAGCCTTTCTAGACAGGTTACGCAACATACGTTTCCATCTATAGCAGGCCTTCTCAACTAGTTTATTAGAAGCGCCAAAACAAAAATGTATTGAGGTTGAAGTGCCAACCTGTATGTTTGGTGACTGTGTGGCGAGGGAGCGTAGCGACCGAGCCGATTCCGGGTGGGGTCCAGGGGTCGAAGCCCCCGGAAGCTAGTGGGTTTTAGGGCTTTTTTAAAGGCCCAGATGTGGCATTTCTAACACCTTTTTGTTCCATAAAACATCAATCATAATTTCATATTGATGTGAAATAATTAGTACAATTCCTGGCTAAAATCTACACTTGAAGTTAATTTATATGTAGTAATTTTGGTGCAATAAACACGGAACATGTCAAAATGAAGTGAAAATCACAAACAAAATGGCTTGCTTACACTTTGGGTTCAACTTTGACTGCAACTTTTTTTTATTTTGCTGAGTTTTTTTTATTTTAAAATATAATTTTTTAATTTTTTCTTTCTTTAATTTTTAATTTTTAATTTTAGTTTATTTTTATTAGTTTTTTGGAACAGCCGCGCGCCACTCTGACTGACCGCAAGCGCCACGAGTGGCGCGTGCGCCGCCAGTTGAGAAGGCCTGATCTATAGGGAGGCAAAATGGGTGCAGGGAAAAAAAATACACGGGGGCTCGGGGCAAATTAGCCCCCGAAATGCCCAAAAGAGCCCCCAAAAGTCATGAAAGAGCCCCAAAATTTTGCACAGAGTTCAATGCAAAACAAATTAAAGAGTGTTATTTTCATGCAAGCAAGCTTGAAAAGTAGCCCCTGTAATATGTTAAGTAATTTTTCCCTGTAAGGATGACCACTATAGACAGGTGGTCTTTATAGAGAGGTCAGGTGGCCACTAAGACAGGTTTGATTGTAGTTTAATGACATGAAAGTTACCCCTAACATACACAGCAAACTATTTTAGGTGATTGGTACACTTTTAAAGGCAGGGTATACTACCGATATCGCTTCTACTGCTCTCATGTATTTTCAATGTACGGCATCTTTCGGTGAAGGCGATTTCCGGTTCCCGTAGCCAAGCATCATCATGTATGTGTCCTAAAGTTGGTGATGCATTGTGGGACTTTGCTGTCAACACATTGTGACATTGTGAGCAGCAGATGGCAGTACATGTAAACCTGAGGTAGCGTCGGTAGAATGCCCTGTCTTTAAAGTTGCTCAAGCTTGGGTATATAGAGGGCAGCACACTGAGCCAACGGGTCTTACGCTCCCTGCGTACTAGTGATCCTTTAAGCGTACGTCGGCCGTACGGGAGCGTAATACCCATTGGCTTAGTCTTCACCACGTTGCGTACTTCACGAACAACCCAAACTTGAGCATCTTTAATACAAATTCATTCAGGAGTTGCATTTCGATTTTTGGAGCTCCGTTTTGATAACAATCGTGCCTCTTTCTGCAAGTGGCCCCGATCGGGAGGTGAGGAGATACCCCCTTGATTCTGAGTAAAATGGTTAAATAAATAAATAGAAGAATATATGGAGGTGATATAACACACATATACACACACTATATCACCCAGCTATTGCAGAGAAAGGGTAGTCAGGGATTGACGTGTTCGTGAGAAGGATGTCTCTTTGGACTCAATAGAGGGCGTATGCTCACAATGCAGCGTAAACATACACGGGAGCTGCGAGCGATTTAGCTCTGGTGAACTTAAACAGAGCACTGGGCCCCGTCTTACAAAGAGTTGCGATTGATCCAAATCGATCAGAAGTCCTCCAATCAATCGCAAGTTTGCAGTCTCCTATATCTTATGTACATACTTGCGATTGATATCAATTGCAAATAAGTTGCGGTTGATATCAACTCTTTGTAAGACGGGCCCTGGGCATATCAAAATAACATACTTAAATATCATTGTGAGAAAAAACACACGCTGAATCCTTAAAGAGCTCCTGCAAACGGGGGGTCTTTCATAAAGCTGTTCGTAAAGTTACGCATGACTTTACGAACGACTTGAATGTATAAAGTACCAGATAGGATGCCCAAAGTTTATCCTGATGTTTTGACAAAATGTGACTATAATTCCAATAACCTCAATTAAATTATGGCCAAAAATATAGTACTTTGCATTAAAAATGTTTGTTATAATAAGAATGTTAATCTACATCTGCACAGTTCAATTTTAGGTGATGCAGTTAAAAATGATTCAGCATCCCATTTGGCTTTTCATACTGATATAAGTCGTTCGTAAATTCATAAGTAACTTTACGGACAGCTTTATAAAACACCTGGATGGTAACACAACAAACTGTACCAATGCAGTGTAGTGTGAGCATTTCAAGTAATAAATGCACACAGGCCCATGCAGTTTTATCAGAACTAGCCAGATTTTTGAAGACATATTCAGTACACGGGAGGTGGTAATCCGTTCAGATACGACGCGGTAAATCGCCGAAAGAAACGTCCAGTTTTTTTTATGTATGAATAATTGGCAACTAAAGTCCCGCACATATTCACTGAGCTCTGTCTTATGAGATACAGAAATAAGAGGTGTTTTACATTTTGCGTCATCCCCCCAAAACAAGATTTGCGGCGTCAGACCTGAACGAGGCTAAGATTTTGTGCCTGGGACTTGTGGTCAAAAGAGACTGTGCCACCCTCCACTGCTAGTTCTCACAATTAGCTCAAACGTCGCTGATTATTTAAAATGTATTTTGTATGAAAGAGCCAAATTACAGGTAACAACTTTTAGCAAGATAAATTGCAATGTAGATGTAGCGCACATTACCTACCCAACAGTTTAAACAGTATATATTCAACTGCGGGAGAGAGATACCCGAAAGGCAACGGTACATACTGTATGTGTACCGACACCCTGTACACGCAGTCACTGCTCATAGAACTGCATGCTACATGTATCACCTGCAGAGCAGGCGGAGTGGGAGCCTAGTACTCCTAATTGACTCGCTAGCACAAGGACTATTGCCAAGTAAAGCGCCAAACAGCAACAAATCCTGCGATGCTACGTAGGTGCACCTGTACCTACGTGCCCTCTCTGCTCAAATGCTGGATGATATCGCATGTTTGAGGTGACGTAGTATAGTGGTTCCTTCACTTGGCTCTCAACCCTAAGGTTGAGCATTCCAATCAGGGGCCGCCGGCACTCACGTCTAATGGCAAGACATCAATCCACAACTGCCACTCTCCACCCAGGTGTAGATGGGTACCTGGCGACTGCTGGGATAACAAAAGTTGCAAGACCCTCAGAAAGAACAGCACTGACGCAGACGAGGCCTCTCGGGTAAAAAATTATTCAATATACTATAAACTTGGCTAGCTGGCACGGTGACTCTCGCCAAGTAAGCGCTAAACCACATAAGAGACATCCTCCCCAACGAACAACAAATCACCCCTTACACCCTATGAATCGTCATCTTCGTCATGGATTCGTGTTCAAGTTCGACGACGACGACTGTGAATTGGACGCCGTTGTCATGGTCGTCGATGAGGATGTCGACGAGGAGGTGGAGGAGGCTGGATTGGAGGAGGAGGAGAGGGAGAGGCTGATGTGGAGCGCTTCCTTGAGGTCTTCGAGGGACCCGGAGATCTCCTTCTGTTCCAGGAGCTTGAACTCCTGCGCGTAGAGCACCATGTGGGTGAAGATGGTGTTGAGGTGGTGGTGGAGGTCTAGCCTCGTCATCTGCTCATAGTGCGCAAAGTAGATGTGCTCCAGCACCTGGAACATGAGCCGCAGGATACGCTGGATCACAGACTCAAAATCAGAAGGGAAGACTTTACCTGCAGGGTGGGAGAGGCAAAATAATAATAATAATAATAATTTAAATTTAAAGTCCACTCCAAATTTTATTAAGTTAAACCGAAAATGGAAATTCTTTTGGCCCAATTGATCCTGAGCCTGGCAGCCACCGAGCAGCACCAGATCGACGTTGCTCTATCCCCTTATTGTTGAACGCCAAACAAGGTAGCAGCAACTTCCCTCCTTTATCGTCTTTTGGTATGACGCGGCCGGGATCGAACCCACGACCTCCTGGTTGTGAGGCGGACGCTCTACTGACTGAGCCTGTCTGTACTAGTTTGGCTAGAAGGGTTTAGACCACCCAGCAAGGTCACTGACAGGTGGCTATCTCATCAACTCAGCTCTCAACTAACATAAGAAAAAGAGGATTATAGGGGGACCAACGGGCACCGCTTTGGCATTGTTTCTATATAGAGGAAGTAAGTAGCTACAAGTAGTACTGTGAGGATTTAAAGGAAAAGACGAGTTCTGAGTCCTAAAAAAAGGCTGCCACTCTTAGCAAGACTGGGTCGATTTCTTATCTTCTGGATTATTAAACAACCGCACAGTATACACCAATACTTATTTGATATGATTTGATTTTGCATTCATATATGTAAATATTTTTTCGATAACAATAGTAATATAAAATACAATAAGCATTTTTCAGACAGTGAATCATAAATAAAAAAATATATATAACAATCTTTATTTTCAAAAACGAAATGATAAACTGTCATTAATACTAAATTTCATTAAACATTATAAAATCATTTGCGGAAGAAGGACTGTCATTGTAAGCAGATTGCTTGAAAAATAGACAGCCTCAAACAAAACTCATGAAATAGATTTACACATTTATTACGCAGAATGGAAAAGTAATTGAAAATAGAAATAATAAGGATGGTGATATTGTCAATGCAGATGAGGATGATGATTATGAAAACGATGATTCAAATGAAGGAAGAGATGACATTATGATAAAGATTGAAAAGTTGACACAGAAATTTTACCTTGAATATTCTGATAATAACATTGTTTTAACTTCAGCCTTAAATGAGTAAATGGAGCAACATGATTTAATAGATGTTGGGAGAGAGTTCCATAGGTCTGGACCATGGTGTTGGACGGATCTATGGGCAATAAGTAATTTACAGGTTGACTAGATGAAAATTTGAGGAATTACGGGTAGGGTAAGAGTGAATGGCTTTATTTATAGTGTAAGAGTTTTGAAATGAAAGACGGAGAATATTATTTAAATATTTATAACATGAGCAGTAAACTTTGTAGCGAATTTCAGTTGAATACTGTGCTGAACGATCAACCTTTCCGGTCGATATCTCTGCCCGGAACACTCACCATATTTGGTAGGGAATATAGTCTCGTCATCTATATGTTTCTGCGCATTCACCATGGCAAACTCAATGTACTGAGGCGCTGAGCATTTCATCTTCTTCCCCTTGTCATCATGCCATTGGTATATTCTAAAGAGAAAGAAAAGAAAAGCATTACTATAAACTCATAGGCCGTATTATGAAAACCCCATTATATTTTACGTCAAGGAAAATGATGTTAAAGGGGAAGTCCACCCTGATATTAAGTTGGTTTAAATAGATGCAGAAAAATGAGAGGAATAGTTCTTCTTCCTTTTTAGAGTACAGACCTCTTTACAGAGTATTATCGTACTATACTGGGGTGTGTGCAGGTGGACCACTACACCGGGGTTCCCCCTACTCTTCTACGAATAGTGCAAAGGTAGTGACTCTTCTCTACACAGGGCCTCCATTTAACGTCCTATCCGAGGGACGGAGTGTTTTCCACTTAACATAACCTGCGTCTATGAACAAGGAAAGGGGCACGTTAACACACAACGCAGACTTCAGTCATCCGCCTGGGTGGGACTCGAAACCGTGATCTTTGGTTCGACAGGCGGACGCTTTACCGACTGAGCCAACTTGCCTCCTTAGTTCAGTGATAATTTGAGCTAATTCTGATTGAAAATAAGAAAGTTATGAATGTTTGAAGTTGCAAGTCCCACTTTTTTGCCTCTTAATGTATTGAGAACTGAAAATGTATAAATGAACAAATAAAAAAAACTGTACTTACACATTGCCGGGAGCCATCATACTCTGGCATGTATCATTGGTGCAGAACTGTCCTGCTAACACACCATATAGTAGATTCACATTGTTGAAGAAAGAGAGGGCTGCATTAAAGAAAGAGAGGAAAGATTATGATCACCAGGGGGGCTGTTTCTCAAAACCGTACTAAGTCTAACTTCTTGGACATCCCATTGAAACCTGAGCTACTAATATAGAATTAACACACCTTTCTATTGGATGTCCTCGAACTTAGACTTATGACGGTTTGGAGAAACAAGCCCCTTACTTTGCTTGCTTACTACGCCTCTCTGCATGGTTGCTTGTTTGCCATACATGTACTTTTGCATAAAACAATAGGCAAGAGTTGATGGAAGGATAGCTACGTGCAACACAATGGCTTTACAACATTACCCATTTCCGGTCTTGATTATAATGAAGCCTATCTGTACTAGTTTGGCCAGGAGGGATTAGACCTCCCTGCATGGTCACTGGCAGGTGTTTATCTCATCAAATCAGCTCTCAATTAACAGGGACCATGGGGGATCAAAGGGCACAAGTAGCTACAAGTAGTGCAGTCCCGCTTTACATACATGTACATATCCCATCATGAATACCATGTGGCACAGGAAGATTATTCATGTGGCATACAAGGAGTTAAGGGACAGATGCTCTGAAACAATGCACACAAATAATAGTAACCGATGGTGAAAGTTTGAACCAAATCGGACAAACAATAAGAAATTCAGATCTCTCCATATCGAGGAATCAGTGACATAAAGACTTAACTCCATTTTGGCCATTTTGAGAAAAAGTAGTTTATGTGTCACTGAGCACTTGAGCACTAAAGGGTTAATGGAAAGGGGCTCTGAGACAGTGCACACAATTAATAGTAACCGATGGTGAAAGTTTGAACCAAGTCGGACAAACGATAAGAAAGTCATGGACTTTTGAAAATTGAGATCTCTCCATATCGAGGGAACAGTGACATAAAGACGTTTGACTTTTGACTTTGTTAGCCATTGACTTCCTTAAGTAGAGGTGTCGTGGACGAGTGGTTACGTCGCCAGACTATCAATCACAAGGTCTGCGGTACTAATGTCCTTTGGCAAGACATTGATCTACAATTGCCGCACTCCACCCAGGTGAAGTAAATGGGTACCGGTAGGAAGGAATTCCTTGAATGCTATGAGCACCGAAATTGGTAGCCTAGCAGAGCCGGGGTAATATTGAAGCGCTTTGAGCAACTTGCAGGAAGGTTATGTGCGCTACATAAATATCCAATATTATTGTTATTATTATTATTCAATGGGGTGTTGGGTGGAGTTAAGTCTTTGTGTTTCCTGGAAAGCCCACATTTTTCTGAACATTTTGATATCAAATACTCATTTTGGCAAAATATGAAAATATGGAGTTACGTCTTTGTGTCACTCAACCCTCGATATGGGGTTTTTCAAATTGGCAATGCCAATGCCAATGTGAAAACAAGGACTTACTTTTTGTACAGAGCCATTCATTTTGATCAAGTCCGTGGGGTAACCTTACTATCTCTCGTATGTCAAACTCAATGATATTGGCCTTCACGTTTTGCGCATCCAGGTACAGCTTGGGTTCTTCCGTCGGACTCGGGGCTGGCTTGCTTTTTTCTTTGCTACGGCCTGCTTTCCTGCAAAGCAAATGAGAAATGAAACATTTGACTGAATGTTACAACCATTTGGGAATCATTTAGGTTGCTAAAGTGATTGCTTAGGTGTGATTTGAATAAAGACAATTCACTTAGGTAAGCAAAATGCTAAGTAAAATACTGATTGAGTGAAACCTCATAATAAAAATATCTGATATAATCTTTTGTAAAGAGGTGATTTTACTGGTCCCAGCTCTTTACATTCTTTTGATAGTTATCCTGATATAACAAGGTTATTTACATGGTTGGAAGGACCTCATTATAATGAGGTTCCACTGTAAAAGACTAGAGATTTTGTTCCCCCTCTTTCTTCTCCCCCCTCCCCTCAATCATTATTCTTATTTGTACTGTAAATACATGTTATTCAATGTCATTAGCATTAGAGATTGTTGATGTTATACAAAAGTTTGGATAAAAAAATACATTTAGAAAACAAAAAAGACAAGATAAATACTATGCACAAGCACATGGATACCATTGGCCTACATTGACACGTCCGACACTGACACTGACAGAAAAGGGGCCATGTGTCACTGAGAGGCGACAACTCATATACAATGGAAGCGTCTCATAAAAGAATTTTTGATTGGCACATCAGAGTTCTATTGTTAGCAGGTGGACATTATTATGTACACTGATCTAATTTTTAAAATATGTCTGGACAGAGAATGATAACGGCTGCGACATACCGGTATGATAACATGTACATGTACATGTACGGTGGGAATGATCGCACCTGTCAGTGCAGACTTCCCAGGCAGCTCTTTTCAATATCTTCTTCTCAGCATGTATACAACAGTATATTCTTCTCGTACATGAACAGTAGGTACAGTGAAACCTTAATATACAGTGTAAAGACCACTCAAGGGAGACAAGAAAGATGGTCTTTCTAGGCAGGTGGTCTTTATGTACAGGTTCCTTTTAATAGTACTTGTACGTTTCAATGAGAAACCATTTTCAAACCATCACTGCGCACGCACGCCGTGTAGCCGAGAAGCCTGTTTCAAATCGGGGCAAAGCTAGTTTTCCATGCAACCGAAACCGGGCTGACCAGATTAAACTTATAAATAAGGGAAACGCTCTTGGTGGTCTTGCCTGTATAACGCAATTCAATATGATAAACCAGAACGTCAACGACGTAGCGCTCATCCGCATCTCGCAACAATAAATATCGTAAATGTTATATGGTACACTCTTGAACTGGTCAAAAAATAAAAATTTGATGCCCTGGAAGGGACATAATTTCATTTCATTTGCATAAAGTACCATAAATAATCAATGGAGCAAAATCTCACAATTCTGTGTAGAAGTTTAGTGTTCCAAAATTAGCTCTACCAGATAAGGCAAACCAAATCAAAATCGGTCAAGAAATTAGGGAAAAGAAGCAATTCTTGTTATTTTGGGAATAAATTTGCATAAATTACCATAATTAATTAATGGAGAACAATTTCAAAATTCTGTGTAGAAGTTTAGTGTACCAAAGTTAGCTCTAGGATATAAAGCAAACCAAATCAAAATCGGTCGAGAAATGAAGGAGAAGAAGCCTCTTTTGTGATTTCGAATAAATTTGCATAAATTAGCATAGATAATGAATTTCACGATTCTGTGTAGAAATTTTAAATCCCCCTCCTAGCCCTATCATATGAAATAATCAGAATCAGAATCAAAATCGGTTGAAAAATAACGAAGAAGATGCATTTTGGAAATCTTGATGTGGATGCCACAACAAAGTCTAAGTTTGTTGACCTTAAATGACCTTTGACCTTAACTTAGTGACCTGAAATTCTACTCACATGATTGGGGAGACTTGATAACCCTATAGTCCAAGTTTCATTGACTAAGAATTTATACTTTAAAAATTATATCAAAAATTCAAAAACTTAACCTTAGGTTAAGTTTTTGATGTTGACGCCGTCGCCGTCACCGGAAAAGCGGCGCCTACAATGTATGTCTCGCTTTTTGCTACGCAGGTGAGACAAAAAGCAGAAACATGAAGTTGCAAACCATCCAGAGACTCCTAATAAACTGTGTTACTGACTAATTAATTATGTCATTACAAATCTTTATTCTCAGTTTTCTTATGTAGACCTCTATAACTGATTTTCTTATAAAACTGAAGATATGGCGTATATATTCAATACTGAATGAACGCCATTAAACTCTTACCAACAACAACAACAACCATTTTCAAAGAAGAAAAAAATGTAGTCTTTGTAGACAGGTGGTCACTAAAGCAGGTTTGACTGTACTACCGGTATGTTGAAATATTTAAACATCAATTTCAGGAACAAGTCACATATGCTCATGAACAATTGTAATTCGGAGCATTCTTGATCAAAAGATAAAAACACAACATCACTAAAAGGTGACGCTCAACTGCAATGGGCTAAGAGTGTTCTTAGTATACAGGTTACTGTGTACATGAACATGTACCTGTTGAGGATGACTTGTAGAATTGTAGCTATAACACCGTTGCTCCTGCCTGCCTTCTTCTCTCCGAACATAGTCATCACCTGTTTCATCAGTTTATATTTGAACGAATCAGTAAGTCACATCTACATGCCTGGACAAAGGGCACCAACTGTACCTGGGCAAATCTTCCAGGAACACATACATGTACGCACAACACGTGTATGCAGACTGTACATGTATGCCTTCTAGATTTGTAGGACACTAAAGATTCCGAGCAGACACATGTAGGAACCTAACAAGAAGTCCAGAAGACGCTCCTGTGAAATTTTGTAGCATCAAAGACTCAACGAATCCTTTGGTTTAAGAATACATCAAGAGTATATACTGTATAGACGATTCTATCAGATCAACTGATACAGTAGGAATCTAATAGGAAAATGTCCTGAAGTCACTCCTGCAAAATATTTCTAGCATGAAAGACTCAACAAATCCTTCGGCTTTTAGAATACATCAACACGATTATATTATTATTATTACATATAGACGATTCTATCAGATTAACCGATACATGTAGGAATCAAATCAGATAATTTCCAGAAGACACTCCCGCAAAATGTTCCTGGAGTCTAATCCTTTGGCTTAAGAATACATCAAGAGTATATATTGTATAGACGATTCTATCAGATCAACTGACACATGTAGGAATATGAAACAAAAATGTCCTGAAGTCACTCCTGCAAATATTTCTAGCATGAAAGACTCAACGAATCCTTTGGCTTAAGAATACATCAAGAATACATAATGACTGTCCGATCAGATCAACTCCAACAAGCACCTGTGACAAATCTGACCATGTAATCACATGTGATTTGGACAAAGCATAATCTGATCACATCACAGGTACATTTAATACATGCATGTCCATGAGCTCATACTGCAAATGATCTAGCTATGAAACTATTTCTTCGTCCTATGAAGTCAAACACGGCTTTGTTTGCCGACAAGTTTGATTTTGCCATTGATTATTTCCGTATAAACACTTCAGCCGGATAAGTTCCTTTCTAGATAAGACCGGGGTCCAAAGTCTACGGGAGCTCCACCAATATCTAGGATATCAATTTTGTAATAGTTTACTTTTTGATTTCTTCCCATTTTCAAAAGAAATATTAAGTAAGATTAATAGCTAATAATTGATGACGCTCATTATCTGCAATTTATAAGGCAGCTGGCCTTGCTTCCAAGGTTCTGGTACTTGTATCTCTATAGGGAGCTAATCGCATACCTGTACATCTGCATCGTAAAATAAAAGCAAATATTGTACAGGTAATAAGTTGTGAACTCAACCCCTCCTCCCTATAAATAAATAAATAAAAAATAAATGAATAAATAAATAAACGTCTGGGTAGGCAATTACAGAGTATGAAGAGGAAAAAAGGAAAACATTAAACAGAAACATTTTGCATTACACATACAAATACATACAGATTCAACAATAGGTGTTGAACAATTTCAGCCATAGATAATACATGCAGTCAAATTTAGGTCACTACAGAAACTTTGGCCAAGTATTGATGTACCGGTATATACGGTACATGTTTTTTTTTTTTTTTTTTTTTTTTGGGGGGGGGGGGGGGGGGCATTGATGTACTGACAGGGTTCTTGGGAACAAACTGTTACAGACTATATTAGCCAGTTCGTACTGTAGGTCGATCTGCACACGGTCAGATGAAGGTTATTTGTACCATTATCGTAAAACCCAATTGAAACGATTACTGGATTTATGCTCATGAAAGTACTGTACATGTGATCAATAATCATTTATTCACTCACAGCACATTCTCTGATTCACAGGTAGAAGTGTTCTTCTCAAAAGAGCAAAAAAAAAAGAAGGTATTCATGAAGCACCTCCATCACTTTTGCAGTGATTATTCTCAAATGCACAAAGTGGGACGTCTCCAAGTGTCAAAGATCTGTGGATATTTCTGCGTCATTTATACCAACGCTAACTACGAACTGGTCTATAGACAGTACTTATTAGGCAATGCAATATATATCTAGAAGGAACTGATGCACTATATATATGCAACCTTGCATTCATCCATCAAGTGATTGCATTGCTGGTCTAGAACAAAATATGTCACCACACATCGTGATGTGTTCACACAAGTATCATAATTATAGCATTTGAAAACGGGCTGTACATACATGTATTTAAAGAGAAGGTTGAGTCCTGGGAAGAGGTGAAAAATAATTTGTGAGCGTTATCATTCTTATTATGCAAGTGTGGAAGAACATCAGATAAGACATGTTCCCTGAAAAGCATGGCTCTTCAAATGCCTTTATATTCTAAATATGTCATGTAACTCGTAAAACTCGGGGGGTAGGTTTTTTACACCACGTGTTCGTGTAGTCCCATATACATCTTTTTGTGTACAGTGTTAACTGTTTGTAACTTTACCAAGGCTTGGCCAAATTTCTTATCATTTTGATGATTCCAGAACCTTGCAATACACACAAATTCTTATATGCTAGATGATCAACCTTTTCTGGTCGATTTCACCCCGTTTCTT